CTCCAAGATTGTCTTTGTGGTCTGTTGCAACCAATTGTACCTTGAGTTTCCAGAATTCCTTTTGACGCCGCGAGGAAAAAAAAGAAAAAGAAAAGTTTGTCGATGAAATGTTTTAGGGTGGTGTTGTCCACGGAACGATTTTTGATGTAACGTCACAGTGTCGACAAAACGTGTTCATGAAACATGTTTTTATGAAAAGTTGTCCACGAAACGTAATTCCACGAAACGAGTTTCGACGAAATGATAGGGACCCGTTCCATTTGGCATCAAAATCCACCTCATTTTTGTTTCACTTGCTACAATCAGATTGGGGATTTCGAATAAAAAAGTTAGACATTGAAGATTTAACTTCTTTTGTTACCGTTATAAGCACATGAGTTTATGTATCAAAATGAATAAGATATCGGCTCTTTTTTTTCCAGCAGTAAGCAGGATTTTTTTATGCTTTGATTGTTTTCCTAAAACCTGGTAGTAAGAAGAGGCGGCGACGTACCGGCTGAAGCCAGCCAAACGAGCAAATCCCAAGTGACGCTGGAGGTATAACAGCCAAAATCGCTGTTGGTGCCTATTCAGCTGTCCTTTAATTCCGTCCAATAGCGTCTTTTGTTTTCGGTCATCGTTGGGGGCGTGTCCCTCCAAACCAGAAGTCTCCCTGGCTTCACCGCTGGTGGCGTCATGTTGCCTCCAGAAGGTTCCTAGCTCCTTCATCGATGCCTAAGACAAACACTCATTAAATTTGAGTGTGATGGATGTACCAGATAAAGACACCTTTGTGAAGTTTCGTTCTACCGAGTTCATTGATACAAATATTTTTCCCTGTAGGTATATTTATACTCAGGGAGCATACAATTGAAGCTTATGTCAAAATGCAAAATAAAGCTTTTTGCTACATTAAGGCAGTATTTATCTGAACAATTCCACGACGTAGCTGGAACGAGAGCCGTGACGACAAGACGCTGCGACGCAGTTGGAGTGAGAGGGGAAATCGACTTGGCAGCTGGCCAACTGTGCGGCAGCTGCCGCTTTTGAAACACTTTTTCGAACGATTTTTTTTTGTGAAGCCGACGGCTGAGGCGATTACAGTAAGAGAGCATCTCGTATGCTTTCAAAAGGGCGCCCCCGTGATTTATGGACCGCGTGTGCAATGCAATATGAGAGGAGGACGCGGAAGCATTGATATCGTCTGCACGCAAGAACGCAGCATACTCATTCGCAACCAAACCGTAGACGTCCGCCACTAAATTGCGAACGCCTTTTATGGCACGAGTTGCTCTTTCTCTTAAATCTCGGCTCTCTAAATGTAAACAGCGGGACGACCGTTGACCTTGACGGCGTCTCGTTGCCAGGCCGCGTTCCATTGATTTCCCAGCGATTCGCGCGTTCAAGCGTCGCGACTTTGTTGAAATTGTTTCCCGCGATTCAGACGCTGGACGGCGAGGAGTAGCGAGCCTTAAGAGGGGGGACAATTCTCAAACCGCGGAGAACATTTGCAATTTAATAGCGGAAGTATGCGTCGTGCAGCTCTTTGTTGACGGTCGACGCTTTCGTCGCCTGCCGATAAACCACGTGATGCCGATCGAGCGGTAAAAAAAACTAGGCTAGGCTAGAGAGGAACAAGTGCCGTAACTACGGCCACGATTGATCTGTTTTATCAGCGAGTTTTCCCAGCGGTTACTCGAAGATTCAAGCAAATTGTTAGCCCTCGCGAATAGGCGACGTGGGGTTTTGAATCGATCTCTGCGTGCCGCCGCCGTCGCCACTGCCGGAGTCGCGCGGCCTTGTGCTCCGACGCTTTGACGCATCGAGCGGTTTGCCGAAGGAAGGAAAAAAGACAGTGAGTTGGATTCGCCTCCTGACGCCGTTGTTGTGCGGGAAAGCTGCTTCTCCGGGGGACGTCCGCGGTCGCCGATGGTTTAGGTACGTTCCTCGGCGGCGCTCGCTTTTGCCCGTTAAACAAATGAACGGATGTGTCGCGATTAATCGGCCGAAGATGCGTACCGTGACGGCTGGTGCCGAGTTCGTTTGATCCATGCTGGCGTTTTCTTTATTGAGTGACCACGACGTCTCGTGTAAAACTCCCCTTTGGGGATTCATAACGCGCTTCTGTTGTTGCCACTTCGTGCGATGGCGTGTTCTTACGAGACTTGTTGAACCTTCACTCGCTCGCCGATCATCGATCAGTGTATCGGCCGCTGCCGTTTCGTTTACGGGCCTTGTGCAGAATTCACGGAGTCGTCGTCAGAGCTTGTTTTGCGCGATAGCGTTTTATCTCTTCCCGAAATCGCGAGGCTCCGCGGGAGATCGACCGGGCGAGGATATGGCGAATGGTGTCCGCTCTGTTGGTGCAGCGTGGAAAAGACTGTCTTCGGGTGCCGCAAATATCGCTCGCGTTGCTAGAGTAAATGAGGAAGTCTTGCCACCAGAGTGGCGTACTGTATTTTTTGACAATGCGATGCGGTTGTTAACGGTTCAGTTTGTTGTCTTTAATAGTGGTCGAAATCGTCTGGCTCCTTTGGCACCTTTTTTTTTTTTTTTTGCGTTTTCATGTTACAGTTGGAACGAATGAAATTTAACAAATCAGCTAGTGTATTAATCGCTCTTAGACATGGCATTTTTAGACATTGGGATCCGAATATGTAGAAGTTGACAGTCATCCCCAATGAGGTGAAACTACAACAATGCCAATACTTTTATTTGCTGGAGTGGTTCTTTGAAGACGTGGAAGACAAGTTAAGAAAAAGGCAAAGAAGCCCGAGTTGTATCGAGAATTTCTCTAAACATTACGATCAATGTCTCTGAAGCATGATTCAATATAAAATTCATTCACCTCCAGTGAGTTGGTGTTTGGCCCATCGAAGGAAGACTTAAGTACAGTATGAAAAGCTGATAGACAACTCGAAAGAATGTCTATTTGTTTTCTTTCTTGGGGATCATTTTTAACAGTTTCTATCGAGTGTGTAAAAAAATTGTTGCAAAAAGTATCTGTTGATTTTAAAGCGGTAAAGGTCATTTATATGGCACTGAATATGCAATCATAATAGTACCCAAAATATGCTGTTTTTAGAAAGAATATTTGTAATTCAGAATAGAATGTTTTGTCTTTTACAATGCATGTAATATTTCCTATAGAAGCCTTCCAAACATCACGCGTCGATTATTAGAAGGTTGGAACCACTGCACAGTGGTGGAACAACTGCATTGTGGAACTTGCAAGTCATTTCATAAGATAGCGAATGCCAAATTGTATCTTTCCTTTGAATATACTTGTCGTTCCAGTCACTGCAGCTATAATCCAAGGCACCTTCATTGTCGCAGATAGCGTCGTCATCCGTGTTGTTGAGACGATTGCTGATGCAGCACGTTTTGAAACTTTTTCGCACCATCTTGTCTGGAAAGGTCGTGGTCACGCCGGATCTCTGTCGGTTTGGCGTGACCGCGACCTCTCCTCTCCTCAATGAACTTCGCAAGCGCTTTTTCAAACTCGCAGATTTTGGTACCTCGGAACGCTTTTCGGTCACAGCTTGCAGTTTCTGTGCTCTCCTCCATCCATTCTCGCACGCATAACTCGTCAACGTGGTAACGGTTGTAGTTCCGGCTGGCCGCTTTATTTCTAATCTCTTCAACGAATCTAACGACAGTCGGTGCGTTTGACAGTTCAGCTCCGCCCATAAAAACAATGCAAATATGGCAAACCAAAAAAAAAAAAAAAAAAAAAAAAGAAGGAAAGTATGGAAGAGAAGTTGGGGAGAAGAAAGTCCCTAGGAGAGACCGGAAACGAGGGATTCTGGGGCATCTATCCCTACGACTGTGCACACTTCGCCGTGAAGCCACACTGCCCGCCGAAATTCGCGTATAACCCGCACCGCTAGTTTGCCATCGATTTATAAAAAGTTTAGTGCGGGTAATATGCACGAAAATACTGTCACACAAAAATAAAATAAAGTGTTACTGACTCAGTTTACCATCTTCTGGCTTCACCTTGAAGTTGAAACATCTTACAAGTATTTAGGTGTCTGTTTTGTAATAAACACGTATTGGTTGCTGCATATTAATGAACCCAGAACACCTTTCAGCGATTCATGTTTTAAACAGGTGTTCTGTAGACCTGCATCCGTTTTTGCCACAGTTGATAACACACACTTGCACACAGTCCCCTACTAATCTATTTCTTTTTTTTTTCATCCCCACTCGCTTTATGTATTTGGGACTGGAACGACCTCCCAGATCCTCTGACAACTAAACAAGACACAGGGCTGTTTAAGAAAAAGTGTCGGGACTTGTTTCATTGAATGTTGAATAAGATCGTAAAATGTGAATTTTTTTATTGTTGCCAGTGCGGTGTCATACCTGCTCAATTTGACCAATGTGTTCTTGTTTCGATTTGTAATCGTTGCTTTACTATCTGTTTCGGGGTTTTTTATTTTACTTTGTACAAATCTTCGCTCACGTAATGCCTCTGTAAGAATGTTGTTGAGCCAGATAAATGAAATGAGGGCCTCCTAATAGTTCCAGAGAACTGGAAAGTAGAAAGAAACTGGGGCAGGAACAAACAGGTTTGAAAGTCGTACGTTGGGGGACGTAAGCAACTGCCCATAGCCACTGCCATTTATACATCCATCCATGTGGTGGGGATTAGAGCTACTAAGCGGGCTACACTCGGCGTATTGGCACTTTAATTCTCGATTTCCTTACGGGCGCCGCCATTTTGATACTTAGTGCGGAACTTGCGCAATCAGTGGCCATTGCGATTTAAATTGCAATTTCCCGAGTTTCGGGCACAGCGTCACGAAGATCGGGTGTTATCGTTTTGGAGACCGTTTCTACTCTTCGGAGGGCGGAGAAGCATTTCTTGCGGTCGAAGAATAAGTGTCGGATAACTGGCAACTGCGATTTCAGGCGAGAGCACGACTAGAGCGTCGACACGCCGAGTTGTAACCGATTTAGTGGCTCCGGGCAGAGTCACTCTAGCTAACTCTGTGAGTGTGTGTGTTCCCTCACAGGCGACTGATCCAAGAGGCCCTGAACCGTCAGACGTACCACCAGTTCAAGGCATACGCGGAGCAGCAGTTCCCGGCCAGTCCCGACCAGGTGGGCGACCTTCCTTCTACCGGACGTTATCTGGATAAGAAGGCTGCATTAGCAATGTGTCCGGAACGTGTCCTCGACCGGCACGTTTAGCATGCGTCACAGTAGGTCTCGAAACGGCGACAGACTATGTCGTGGAACCTGGTGCGTTGCGTCGTTGGACAACGCAAGCCGGGCGGCCGACGCCAGAAGTCCCGGCAGAGGGTGTGAACGAATGCGAGGGTCGCCATCGTCGTCGCGGAGCCCCAAGTGTCGGTGGCCGAAGCTTCTGCGGACCGTTGAGCCAAAGAGTGACCCGCAATTTAACGGGCGTTCGCCACGTCCGCCGCTGCCGTTGTGCCGCCGCCGCTTTCGCAGCCGGTGGTAGCTCAATGTCTCTATGACGTCGTCGGACGGCAGTTGAAGGACCGCTTTTTTTTGGACGCGGTAAACACACCAGCCGGAAAACGTTTCAGGCGCTCGACTACTAGTGTTCGATCTTCTACGTTGCGTACCAGAGGTCGGTGCGAAGTCCAGATTAAAACCCAAGCGCCGCGTCGGCGTTCGGCCGAGGCTCATGTTAAATCTTCGAGAACGCAATCCTTGGCCCGATGCCGACGTGCATCAGCAAATTCCCGACGGATGCCGTTGCATGTTGGTGCGTCGGCACCATTACGAGTGCTTGCCACAATTTGACGTTTCAAGATGACTACCCGGTGCTTCCGACGCACATTCTGTTGCCTGATGCTGGCTCCTCTTCTGCAAAGAGGATATGCAAAGTGTAAGAAGTGACGTGAAAAAAACGAAGTGTACCGCGAAAACCCGAAAAAGCCTCCTCCGAAGCCTTCGGCATTGCTCTTATAGGTACCGAAAGCTTTAGGGAGCTTTCTGCAGCGAGGTCATCGCGTTTGTTTACGTGTCTGGAACGCCTAAAAACCTCGCACCCTTCGGCAATAGCTTTAGCTTTATGAGTAATAAGTAGTCTTCCGGAGCAAAGTCGGGTGTTGGGCGGTTCGGTAAATGTGACCTTTCTCCAAGCGGGAAAACTCCAAATGATGTTACGTGGCACAGAGCGTGTGATGTCACGCTGCTGTGTGACACTGTGCCACACGATGTGATGTTTAATGACACCAGAACGTATAATCGTGACGTGACTTCAAGTCTTGCGGTGTCGTGACATCGGACACCAAATTGTCACTTTTCTTTTATTTGGTTTTATTCTGACGCATCTGCCTCTGCGACACTTCGGCGATCACAGACTCTGAACCAAATGTACTTTGCGGAGCCTCTCCATCGTACGATGAGCTCTCATCCTACGAATTTAATTCTGGGAGGCGTTAAAAGTATGAATCGGAAGAGCTCACACTTTCATTGCCACTACCACAAGAGCAATCAACATGTGAAGCAACCAATTTTGCGCTCAGAGCTTCCAACTTTGGAACTATGAATAACCCCAGTAAGGCGAAACAGGGTGCGAATATATGATGTTTGCAGTTTCTGTGAGACTCACGACGACGGCAGCTTTTGAGAAGAGTGTGGTTTTGCATTTAGACGGGAACCTTCAAATGTGCAACTGCCGTGCCGCACATGTGCGGCAGTGACCGTCACGTGCATTAAGGGACTTTGCAGACGAAAGTTGCTTCCAGTTTTACATGGTCCCCATGGACATGCGCAGCAAGGGGTGCTGATCCGGCAGCTTCAGGAGCAGCACTACCACCAGTACATGCAGCAGGTGCTGGGGCAGCAGAAGGGCAAGACCACGGAGCCGACGGCGGCAGCCATGGACGAGGGGGAAGGCACCCCCGTCGGGCCCCCCGAGGAGAAGGAGCCCACACCAAACGGGGACAGGGCTCACAGCTCGGGCGAGGAGGACGACGAGGAGTCCACGGAGGAGGACGCCCAAGGTGAGGACATGCCTCCTCCCCCTCTCTCCCTCCCCTTGCAAATGCGTACAGGGTGGTTTTGTTTTAGACAGCCCGGAATTTACACATGTATAAAAAAAAGGAAGCTTGTGTAGGGGTTTGTTGGGTCCTTGCCTAAGTTGGCAGGTAAGGCGGCTGTTAGAAGAGAAGCCGAATGGGTTAGCATATATTCAGATGTATAAGTTTCATCGTTTTTTTTTTATTACTCAATTTTTGTTGGTGCGTTTTGTACAACAATGCGACTTGTATGAATATTTTTTCTTCAGGTACGGACCTTAAAGGGGTCATGAAACGCTTTTCCAACTTTTTCCTGTTTAGCTTTCCTCCTCAACTCATAAATCGCGCATTCCACCAAACAGTTAAGGAAGACGAAAATGGGGAGTCCCCTCTTGCTCGCACTCTCGTTTGTGTAATCCGGACACATCCATTCTCCCCCTAGAAGATTAGCCCGTCGCTCAAAATTCAGACAAAAGTTGCTTTCCCCACCCCGTTCATTCCGAAGCTGACAGTGCTGTTGAAGCCACATGCTCGTTGGGCCAGCCACACTTGCCACGTGAGCGTGGCAAATGTGGCTGCAGAGAATGAAGTCAGGTGATGAAAGGGAGGCGGCTGATTGGTCCGGCAAGCGCGTAGCTTCCACCATAATGTCAGCTTAGGGGTGAAGGGAATAAGTGAGGTCCGGTTGCGTGTGACGTCAGTTTGGACCCGATGACGCGCTTTTGGGACCGCGGATGTATCACAGTGAAAAGGCAGAGAGGTTGCGAAGGGGAGGAGGTACGAAATAGTCCGCTCTGTTTTCAAATTTTCGCACTGAAAGTCAGGCTTTTGACTTTCTACCTTTTTTTCTTTTGCTCCACTGAACGATGTGCTATTAGAAATATCCCAATCTAAAATGATTTATCCCAACCCAAAAATCGTTTCATGGGCCCTTTAACCTCTCGACGGTCAGGCTTTTTTTTTCTGAAAGATGCTTCGCAGTATACGAGGCTTTGTTTCCGAAGGAACAGTTTAAAGAAAAGGTCAGGTTCTTCTTTAAATATCTAGCGAGAGGATGCACATTGCTTGCAGGCTGTTAAGGTTTAGAAACATCAAGTGAAAACATTGACGGTGAAAAGTTGTCGCCTTTATTTTATTTAATTCCATTTTGCCCTGTCCCCTTCCGCGACATTCCAGTAGCTTGAGATTTCTGACCGGAGGTAGCTTACAGAGCTTCTCCTTCAGACGATGACCTTCATCCTCTCAATTTAAAGGGACCATGAAATGACCTTTTTACTTTTGCAAAATAACTAACTTTAACATTAAACCTTATGTTCACTGAATGCCAAAGAGGCATCCGTTTTCGTTTCAGTTTGTTAACTTCTACACAAAAAATTAATAAAATATCAACTTTTCCTTTCTCTCCAACTCACCGCAAAACAAGCTGCGGCGTAATATTGACAGTCGTGACGGTGTGCTGGTTGGCGGTGTGCTGGTAGGTTTTACTGCGCTGATGGCGCTGATGCCACCGACATAATTTCTGAATCGGCGCCTCTCATCGCTACAGAAATTGTAATTTGGGCACTTCGGTACACTGCAGCCTTTTGGCATAGCAACCGAGCGATCAATCACAAACAGTGTAAACACTACTCGAGCAGCCAGAAAACGAAAGTCTCCTCTGCGAAGAAAGTGTGACCAGGAGCAAACCCATTCAGCAGACGACGCTCTTGGGTTGACTGCGCAGGTGCAGTCGGGTCTTTCTCTTGTTTCGTTTACCACACGATAGATGGCGCTTGGCTCTGAGCATTATCGAATTCGGCAATTTTCATCACATCTCTGATTATGCCACAAAACGTGGATCTGAATATTATTTAACAAAACTTTTAGGAAACATTTGCCGGCTATTTATTGTTTATGATCGCGGTGCTGGTGAGGTAGGCTTTTAGCCAATAGGCGACGTGGATTTGGCTGACGTGCTGCGGTTCCGTGGATGCATCGCAGTAAAAAGGCAGAGAGCTTTCGAAGGAAAGGAGGTGTAAAAGAGCCAGGTTTTCTTTTAAAAGTTCTATAGCGAAGAATTTTTTTGGGCTCTCTATTTTTGGGTTTTGGTTTTTTTTTTCACACATTTCACGACGTGCGGTGAATGAAGTTCGATTTCAAAATCGTTTCATTGTCCCTTTAATTTCAAAAAGCGTTAGAAGTCTGAATCGGAAGAGGCTGCGCTCCCGTTGGCACTGCCAACAGGGCGGCCGATATGCAAAGTGAGCATCGCGTCTGCGGAGCGTCTAATTTGAAAACTCTAAATAGCCCGGCAAAGTGAAACACCGTGCGAATATAACGTTTACAGTTCGCCAGAGATGCAACTAATAGTAACACCTACTCCGGTGCGAGCAGTTTCGCGTTTAGGCGGCCACTTTCTAACATGTAATCACCGCCGTACAAACGCGGCGATGACCGTCGAAGGGGCCATGAGAGGAGCTTTGGGCTGGGATAAATAATTTTAGATTGGAATCTTGCTAATCATGTATCGTTTAGTGGGCCAAAAGAAAGAGGGTAGAAAGTCAAAAGCCTGCTTTTTGGTATGGAAATACGAAAATATAGCAAACTATTTTGTACCTCCTTTCCTTCGAAAGCTTTCTGCCTTTTCGCTGTGATACATCCGCACACCCTCTTTCCCATTATGTTCAGCCCCCTTGGGTGTAAGCCGGTGCGGGCGGTGAGAAATTCAAAAGTCGAAGGAAGTTCCGAATTTTGCACCATTTCCGAAAATAACCATTCTGGGGTCGCTTTCCTCTATAAAATATTCGCCGCCATTTTCGGAAATAACTTATACACCCCAGAATACCCCTGGGGTGACGCATACCGGTTTAAAAGGCCATGAAAAATTGCGTTAAAAAGTACTTGTACTTTAGTTTTAAGTGTATGTTGAAATTTCGTAAACGTACATTGTTGTTGTATTTCGTACACATACATTGCGCCCAGAGTACTTACTACTATACTTGAGGTATATAACCTCTCATATACTTTGTACTTTACTTCGAGCACTTTTTAGATGTACTTTACCGAACACCAGCCTGACGGTGTGCTTTTGGTACTGCTTGATTGTCTCCATCAGAATTGCCTGCGGTTGCGACAGCGTCTATGTGGACTCGCAAGGACATCCGGGAGTTTAAGGAAGGCATCCGGAAGGAAGGCAGCAATGGCATCCTCAAGGTGGGTTTCTCGCGTGCTTTCCGCACTCCTCAACAACTCCTGCAGAACCGAACAACCTTCCGACATTCTCGCGTGGAGTGGCGAGACGGCCGGGACGACTCCCTTGAGGTACACGGCGCAACGCCGTTCTATACTCCGTTGATCCCTGGGTAAGGTGGCCATCATATTCCGTGTACTAGAAAACTGGACATCGGGAGAGGGGGGGGGGGGGGGGGGGGGGGGGGGGGAAGGGGAAGGGGAAGGGGAAGGGGAAGGGGAAGTGAAGCAGAAAAAAAAAATCCGCTACATACTGTATTTACTCGCATAATGAAGGCACTTTTTCCCCCGAAAAATTGACAGATATTTGGAGAGGGCGTTCATTACACGGGGTAAAATTTTTTGCATTTACACACTTCGTGCAAATGTCCTATTACGTGCCAATATGACACGGCAAGGTACCGTGGCACGTCTCCAGTGATGAAGGCGCACCCACGGCTGGTCGGGGACGCGCCACAGTAACCATGCTTTATAAATTGCAAACCTTTTTAGGGCACTTTTGGGGTGCCTTTTGCCAAAGGAAAGCGCCCTACGAAGCTCACTCAGCACGAAAAGCAATGCGACCGTTCTTAGGCGATATATATTGCTAGTATCCGGCGGCACGCTCAGGTATATCCGCAACTACGTGTATAAGAACTCCCACAAAGTCCAACCGCCGAAGCCCGTTCGCACGGATCAAGTTTCGTTTACGGAGACAAGAACTCCTACGATGTCCTACCGCCGATTGCTGAAGCCCACTGGCACGGATCAAGTTTCGTTCACGGAGAGGCTACCAGACACTCTCAGCCTACAGCGCAGCGTGCACCTCGCTGTGCCGTTCTGTTATGGATTAAATAAACGCATTTACCCGGAGTATCTGAAATTAGGCCTAACCACTTTCACGATTTCACTGTCCGAAAGCGGACCAGAGACAATGGCTTGTTGTCTGTGGTCCGTTCCTCAGAAATGTCCTCTATCGTGGACTGTTTAGACAGCATATGACACTTCACAATAAAATTAAGTTTGTTCGTCCAGCAAAAAAAGTTGTCCATCGTGGACTGTTGGCCCCGTGGAGCTCGCATCTTGACAAGCGCCGATGCTTTGAGGAGAAGCAACACCTGCGAAAGTGAGCTGCGCGGGTGTTGCTTCTCCGCAGTGCGTTGGTGATTTGAAAGAAACACGCTCAATGTGGCTGCGAGAATGAACAACATGAATTGCATGAAAACACTGTTCGAATTAAGCGGCTTATAGATACATTCAAAACATTGCAGACAACCAACATTTTGAAATTTGTTTGGATTAACCAGAAGTATGAAATATCAGAGTTTGAAATATTGCGAGCCTACTGTATGTATAACTGGTGGCACAGGCATATTGCTTCCACTGGACATTCACCTTACGGGTGAACGAAGTGTATCAGCCTTAAAACATTCACACCTAGAGTATCAAAACAGCCAGGATGAATCTTAACACTGCCCGACATTGTTAGCGTGAACAAGTGATCGCCGGCTTTTTCTCTTTGTCTCTTAGAACCGAAGGGCTGCCGTAAAAGAGACTCTTTTGGTAGAAACTTCTTACTTGGCTCGGGTCGAACTGGTTAACTGCCACTTTTACCAGTTTATTTACGGATGAATGCTGTGCCGATATTCATTCTTGTATGCCGGTACGATGCCCAATTTATGTCACAGGGATTCTAGATTAGTTGTCACGCTGTACTGGCCAAACTATCAGTACAGCATGCCGCTCCAATACATTGTTCAAATTGTCGGTATAGCATAGCACCGACGTGGACTCATGCATGCCGATACAACCCACGATTCACGTCAGGAAGCCCAGGTTAGCGGTCGTGCAGCATTGGCCAAATTGCCAGTAGAGTTCCAGCCAAGTTGTAAGTTCTGGTCAATTTGCAAGTACAGCATGACACTCATATGCACTCTTGTGTATCGGAACTTTGACCGATTCACATCAGGGGCCTTAGGTTAACAGTCATGCTGCATTGGCCAAATTGCCAGTACAGTTCCGGCCAAACTGCAAGTACTGGTCAAATTGCAAGTGCAGCGTAACACTCATGTGCATCCTTGTATACGGGAACCATGACCGATTCGCGTCTAGTATCTTGGGTTAACAGTCGCGCCGCACCGGCCAAATTGCCCGTGACATGTCTGTGCCGCCGATCTGCCTCCCGCAGGTGGGCCACGGGGAGACGGTGACGGTGCGGGTGCCAACACACTCCAATGGCCACTGCCTGTTCTGGGAGTTTGCAACGGACAGCTATGACCTGGGCTTCGGCCTCTACTTTGAGTGGACCTCGGAGCCGGGCAACCAGATGTCCGTACACGTCAGCGAGAGCGACGAGGACGAAGACGAGGACGAAGGTGGGACGGGCAACGGCAGGGTGCCTGACACGTGTCTCCAACTCGTGTGTGTAGCGTCCTGTAACGCCGACGCATCAAAGGTGGTCCCAAAGCGGCAACCAATGTGGAGCTCAAGTTTGTCTGCGGCTTGCACAGGGGTTGCGATGAGCTTTTATTGGCTGACTGAAAAAAATAGCGGGTAGACCTCAAGGCATCTAGTGTTGAGGTCTACCCACTATCCTTTCAGTCAAAGGCAATCAGCTCGGCGTCATTCTGATGTCAATGCAACTCCTGCATAAGAAACAGGCAACGATTGAGCCGCGGAAGCCAGTGAGTCATGCCATCGGATGTCGCGATCCTGGCGGTTGATCGTGGAAGTTCCAACGAAAAGGTTGAGCGGACGCAAGTGTCGCTTTTGTTGCGGTGTCCCGGCCCCTGGCTGCTGAAGCTTCTGTGGACTGTCATGCCGAAGAGCGATCTAAAGCAGAATAGGCGTACGATGTATCCACCTTTGCTGCTGTGCTGCCGCCACGATCGTGGCCCGCAGCAGCATGATGCCCGTGTCGCTTTGTCGGGGACTGGAAATGAAGACGCAGTAAACGTACCGGTCAGAGACGCATGCCAGCACCATATTCTGGTACAGTGGTTCTCAACCAGTATTTTGGGGACATTGATGTTGATATTTAGCCTAGCTCGGGAAAGCCCCTGACCCCCTCTGGATCGGCGGAAGTGATGGGGGACCCCATCCACTGCGAGGGGAGGGGGTGTATTGAATGATTACAATGACAAAAGTAAACTTTGAAGCAGCTTTGAAGGCTCTAAAACAGAATAATCAGCACTACTCACTTGGCACACAGGGCTTGGTCTATTTACCTTTGTGGTATAGCTAGCGTCAGTAAAAAAAAGTTTTATTGCTCGACTCGGTTGACGTTCGACAGCTTTGGGGACCCTGAGGAGGCCTTGCGGAACCCAAAAGGGCTTGTGCACCCCCTTCTGAGAACCACATGCTGCTCTAGCTCATAGTTTGTGAAACTGGGTTCCCCAGAGTACACTTATCGGTTCCCCGATTTCCTGAGCTCTCCAATTCACTCGACCATCCCTGCCTCTAGGCCAAGTGTTTTTGCAGTTTAAGCATTATTTTAGCACATCTGAGCCATCCCTTGATGCACAGGTATAAGCCAACTGCTTCCTTGTTTGTATGTAACTGTTTACAATGTCTGTAGGCTTCTGCATCGCATATTGCATGAATGTTGAGACCAAGTGGGGTTCCTCAGCTGGTGGGGGTTTCTTGAGATAAAAATGTTTGAGAAACACTGTTTTAGTGCCACCTGTGGCCATGCTAGTGAGCCTAGATTTCAGAGAGGGAGCAGCTGAAACCACGGAGAGAGTCTGCAATTAAGCGGCAGACGGCTCCCACCCTGATCGGTTGCAGGCAAGGAGGAAAGCAGGCGGGAATGCTTGCAGACGACAGTTGCTCTCGTCACCTCGCGACCCGTATTATAAACACGGCCCGTAAACCATGTGGCCTTGACGGAGCAGTTGGAAACTCTCTGCGATCTAGGCACACCAGGCCGTGCTTCTCACCGGCAGTGCCCTCGCAATATCTCGCAGAGGAACGGGAGGGCGGCGGCGACGTGGAAAAGGGGGCCTCGGCGGGAGACGGTGCGGGCGGCCCGGCCTCGCTGAGCGTGGTGATCCCGGTGTACCGGCGTGACTGCCACGAGGAGGTGTATGCGGGCAGCCACCTCTACCCAGGACAGGGGGTGTACCTGCTCAAGTTCGACAACTCCTACTCCCTCTGGCGCTCCAAGACCCTCTACTACCGCGTCTACTACACCCGATGAGGCCCCCCTCGCCCCTCCCCCCACATCTCCACAATTTGTACAAGGCCCAATTCAGAACGGTGTCTCTCACTCTTTGTTAATGTTGGTTCATTTTTTTTTTTTTTAGCGAGTTACATTTAAATTTTTATAAAGTTTGAACGAGTTTTTTCGAAATCGAGATTTTTGAATGCTCCCGAATTCGTTAGGATACGGACGTCTGTTGACCGTTACACTTAGTTGTCTATGGTCGTCGACTTCTGCTGCCGGCTTTGATTGGAGACCATGCCGTATTTATTCGCAGCAGCAACGGTGCATTCAAAATGGTGCATCACACTTTATACTATTTGCTCACCGGCGTCAGAGGACCGTGACCGAACCGGAGAAATCCATTTCTTGGTGTACCATTCTGAAGTCTGCTACGTAGGAGTGTGACCAGATGTTTGATTTTCGGTAAAACTATATACTAACAGCAACGAGCACGGAGTTGCTTGGTGCATTGATTTCAATGTAACAAGTTTGTGTTCTTTCCCGTGAAGGGAAGCAAAATATGCGATTGCGATTCGTTTGCAGCTCATCGAAACGTTTCTACTTTTAGTCTCACTCAAGTAAGCTTCAATCTTTGTATCTCTAAAAATCTACCATCCAATTGCATCCCCTGTTGTACGTTGCAGCGGGATGTTGCGTAAAGAAACTGGTTCACGCGGTACTCTGTACGCCAAGACCACCAACGATCCGCTCGGCGCACGCTGTAGAACGGGTTCTTGTTGGTATCAGTGAGCATAGACTACCACTTTGCCACCACCCCTCGTAAAACAGTCTCATCAACGACTCTTTCACACACGCAAGGTGAAACCTCCACAGCTGGCCTGGGGGGGTCTGCCTGCTCCTGTATTACTGCGGTGGGGACAAGTGTTTGTACAGCCCCATTCCATTTGCTGCATTGCTTGCTGAACAGGCTTATATGGAGAAAAGCATGAGAAGGTACAGTCAAGAAAAATTTGTGGTCGAGCTCTCAGCTCTCTTATTGAAGTTACCATGCCAGTTAGCAAAAGCAACAAAGCTCTACACTGGACAAAAGAAATATGTGCACAGGTTTCTGGCTTTGTTAATGGTTTCCTTTAGGGTGCAATGGGTCTTTTATGTGCTAAGAAGAAATAAATGCATCTCTGTTTTCCTTTTCCTTTTTAGGTTACAAGTGGAGATGAGTGACGCAGATGTTTTTCCAGTTGGGACGAGGCATTTATATACGGATAGAGATTGCTGGTAACATGAAAGCTCTACCCGAGATCGCAATTTTTCTGCCTGTTCCTTCCTCACGCTTTCGGTTGTGGGCGTGACTTGGTTTGTTATCCCCTTTTGACGGCTTCGGAGGCTGTGAGAAGTGGAAACGTTCAAAAGGGTTTTACCTTTTTAAACCCTTTCTAGACTAATTGCATAAAAGTTTTTCAGAAACGGGGGAATGTGGCTTGGGGCCGACGGTCTTGTGGCATTAGTAGATTCTGGTTTGGGGCTAGAAGCTTTAATGCATTCTCAAAGCTGAAGGTGTGGAAACTGTTGCATGAAGCGATCGCAAGTTACCGATGTGGGTATTAACTTGTGGGAGTGGAATGCAAGAAAATGCCCATTTTGTGTTCTTGCTAACCCCGCTGCGCCGTGTACGTTAAGGCGCGTAACACTACTAAAAAAGGACGACGGTACTCGTCACATCACCCTTGCAATGCCAGCACGTGTTAATGAGGGAAGAATGCCTCAAAACTGCTTTGTTACGAAGAGGTGCATCTGGAGCCACCGAATAGGCTATGCTTAGAGCATCGACACTGCATTCTTGGACTTTCTTGGGGGCGCCGCCATCTTGTTGCCTAGTTCAGAGCAGGTGCGATTGGCGATGGGTATGATCACACAATGCGACTTCCCAAACCTTGAATGCGGCATCGGGAAGTTTGGGCAATGTCGTTTTGCTCCGTCGCAGACCGTTATAACATTTCTGGAGGAAGGAAAAGCGTTCCTCCGACTTCAAATAAATTTTTCAGCTGCAACTGGCAACCATGGTTTTCGAGCAGCAATACATAGTTACAAAAATGCAGAGGGGAAAAAAATTGGCTTAGAAGGGTGAGGGGAGGAATCATACTTTTGGTCTCCGGGCCAGGTGGCGCAAGCTACCGCCCGTGATAAAGGGTACAGTCGTTAGCACCCATCCATCCACAGGCTGGAGTGTCAGTACTCTCAAGCAGAGCGTATCTGGTGGCTCTAGGTGCATCCACGGCCATACACATTGGTGGCGACGCACCGCCTTAGATGCCGGCGATAGACTTTTGCCAGGCACTGCCTCGCGTTGGCGAAGCGGCGTTCCAGAACTCAACACCAAATTTGCAACAAAGGCTTTACTAGGAGAACACCGCTCTGCTCCGCTCATTTGCATCAAATAACGTGCCTACAGCACCAGATCCCCCCAACGGTGGGGACAGCCCGCATAGAATATGTACGCGTCGCGCTGGCGTCAAGGAAAGACGGCCGCCGCCGCCGCTCCGAGATACCGATTTCACCAAGATGGCCGTCTCCTCACCCTCGGGGGCTGTCCGCGACATAAGAGTTATATAATAATCTAAAGGGAAAGGTCCCATGCATTTGAGCCGTTTCGGAATGGCAGGGCATAAAGGTGGACATTGACGGTCTCCACTGGCGGTCTCGGTGGGCCCATATTGCTGGCAATGCCCCAATATGCGCAAAGTGGCAGCAAAACATCACCTGTAATGTTTGTACCTTATCCTTTTCTAGCTCATTTTGCAGAAAGACACCGGAATCATGCACTGCATGAAACTAAACGTTGACAAGCGCTCGAGCCACTTCAACTTGTTGCGGCAAAACAAATATGGCTAACCTTTCGTCTGCTTTTAAGACCAACGACGTCGGTGTGCGGGATTTTCTGCATTCTGCTCCCGTCTTTACCCCGGGCCCACTACGATAGATGGCAGCAGCCACCCCCCCATTAGGTGAGCGGCAATTGGCAACTTCCGGTTCCTTAGGAAATTTTGTTTCACTGTTGACAGACGACGACAGCGAGCTGCATGCCTGTACTAACATAATTCTGATACCTCCAGACTGTAGTTTTCAGAACCATGTTTAGACAGGCTTGCGGATCGTCGTCGTTTGTCAGCAGCTAGACGAAATTTCCTAACGAACTGAAAGTTGCCAAACGCCGCTCACCTGTTCAAAGGGGAAAATCTCGAGCCCGCGCGATACGCAAAAGCTGTCGGCACCGAAGCCTTTGCATTTTCGCGGAGTAATGTGTGTTCCCTAGTAAAGTGTTTGCTTGCAACCTGCTCGACCAGAGTGCTTTTTTTTGAGGGGGGAAGGGGAAAGGTGCTTTTACAACATTCTGTAATGCAGCTGGAACCAAAAGACTTTTTGTCCCCGTGCGGGGCAACATCCGTACACGGGCCAGCTGCGTCGCTCGCAGTCTCGTCCTTCTGGAGCACCCGAGCTTCCTACAAGATGGAGGGTGCCCGCACATTGCCGGTCTTTTTTGCTAAAAGCGTGGAACGGGTGCCGAATGGCGCAAATAAATTATTGTTATCCAAGAATGGTCTGCGTGCATGTTGGTAATTGGTTGTCGCTTTTCTTCTGGTATAGTTTGGCCATAGATTTTGCGGAGTTTACTTAATGGGGAAATCGGCAAACGTCATTGTCATTTGGTTTTCGTTTATGTTTAAGATGTCGGCGAGTTTCGGTGATCTGCTTTGGACGTGCCGAAAACGGTGATCATAGTTAAAAATTGCACGCGACAAAACAAAATTTTAGCCTAAGATAGGGAGGTTTCGACAAAAACAATCGAAGCTGGAGCAAAAACTTGTTGAAATTTTTGCATCTTTTGGACATTAACAGATGCTTATCGGCGTTTCCGTTTTAGCCGATTTTGCTTTTCTGACACCAATGCTTGTTGCCGTTTTTTGTTTTTTTTTTCGGTTAAAACTGGGAAGTTGTGGCCTACGTATAGTAGTCGCCAACAAGGCGAGGACGGCGGGGCGTCTGGATGCACGGCCTCCAGCACGCTTGAGGCTCGTAAAGTTCCAAAGCGTTCTGGACCAGAGGTTTAAAGGGAAGATGAAGCGATTTTTCAATTTCTTCCTTTATAGCTTTTCTTCTCAACTCTGAAGCGAAATGAGAACTCGCGTGGCTGCAAAGCGCGTTTGCGTACAGGACGCGACGACTCCAAGCTTCCACCGTGTTTTTTAAACGCACCATGAAACTTGTCATTCGGAAGCGATGACGAGCGCTTGTGTTCAATGTGCGAGCTGGGTTCAGCAGACATGCTCGGGCGTCGCGGTGAAAAGACCGAGAGCCTTCAAAGGAAAGGAGGTAAGAAATAGTCCACTATAGTTTCAAATTTTCGTACCAAAATGCAAGCTTTTGGCTTTCCACACTCGTGTACTAGTTTTCTTTTGGCCTGCTAAACGACTCGCGATTAGTAAGATCTATATCCAAAATGTTTTATCCCAGCCGAAAATTAATCTCGTGGTCCTTTCAAATCTCGAATCCCACATCTTTGTCATGAGTGGAGTCAAGACGCACACTCAAGTTGACGATTGTCCCACCTATGTAAGCTCCTACTACAGTGGTGTCTCGTTAATATGGACACCTCCGTTCCTCCGAAAAATCGTCCATAATGCAAGTTGTCCATAATAATGAGACAAACATGCATGTACCTTCCTACTTTGTCTCCGAAAACGGTGTCCATATAGCGGGGTATGTATATTAACGGGGTTCATATTAACGATGCACGACTGTACCGAACGCTCTGCCACGTTTCTGGAGTAACCGTGGCAACAGAATGATGACCAAATCCACTGCGCACGAGCGTTCCAAACTGCTGCTTTCGAGCGAGCGGGCATTTTTTTTGGTGTGCCAACTGGGAGTGCCCAACCACTGCCGTGACCAGAAAGGTTGGCTGGCATCGTAACTACCTAAACAATAATGCCTGGAGTACTAACTCCAGTTTTAGGGTGATGTTAATAGTGTCCCAGAGACTATGGTCTCCGATAAAATGAGAACGGAAGGCACATCTTTCAAATGCCCAGTCTCCACCTGCACTCGAGGTGTACAAAATGTGGAGGCGTCTATAGCTGCGAAACGCAACTTGCCGCAATTTTGCACGTGTAGAGAGGTCTACATTAGGTGCTCTGCCCATACCTCGGCAAACCTCACTCATGAGGGCCCTCACTCACCCTCATCTTCACAGGTGAGGTGAGGGTGAGTGAGTTTCTGAACCAGGAAAATTCATGAGTGTGAGGGCGAGTGAGGGCTGTGAGGGCCGTGAGGGCGGTGAGGGTCATGAGTGCGTGAGGGGCGTGAGGGCGGTGAGTGGCGTGAGGGCCATGAGTGCATGAGTGGTGTGAGGGCGGTGAGTGCGTGAGGGCAGTGAGTGCGGTGAGTGCATGAGGTGTGTGAGGGCGGTGAGTGCGTGAGGCCCCCTTCAGATCGAGCATCTTTCTCGGCAATTTTGGTGTTAATGGCGGGTTGTTCTCTAGCTTTCCCTAGATCGACACGAATTGCTGAGATCGGGTCCGGCTCGAAATAAGCAAGCAACTCGGAGCAATTCGAATACGTTTGAAGCGGCTGCATCCAATCAGGGACGCAAAATTTTCATGCGATACCTCGTGCCGGTGATGATGTCACCGAATGACTTAGTTCTGGTTTGAAATCGATCGTTTTTTTTGGAAATAAACTGTTTCAGAAAGGTGCATTAGTATTCTTAACGAGGTTCAAATGCATAAAAACACGTTTATAACGCGTAATTGTGTCTAAATAGTGCAAGCAAAATAAAATTTTATGATGACGATGGCAAATTGCAGCAATTGGTTGCTGCGTGTGATCGCGGGCGGCCCGTGTTGCGACGTAATGTTTCTGGGCGAAATTGCCCCATCTGAAGCTGGCCTGAGTGGCGTAAGGGCCATGAGTGCGTGAGGGGCGTGAGGGGTGTGAGGGCAGCACGGGCGATGAGGGGCGTGAGGGCGGCGAGTGGCGTGAGGGCCGTGAGGGCAGTGAGTGGCGTGAGGGCTGCGAGTGCGTGAGGGCGGTGAGGGCCGTGAGGGCGGTGAGTGGCGTGAGGGCCGTGAGGGCGGTGAGGGGCGTGAGGGCGGTGAGTGCGCGAGGGCCGTGAGGTTCAGTGAGGGTGAGTGAAGGGCTGAAGGTGAGTGTGACTGTGAGGGTGAGTGAGGGGCTGAAGGTGAGTGTAGCTGTGAGGGTGAGTGAGGGGGCTTAGGTGAGTGTGGCTGTGAGGGTGAGGGTGAGTGAGGGCGACCTAAAATGCCGACCTCTGGCTCTGCCTAGAGTGGACTATATTGACGATACATTTCATTGGGGAAAAAACAAACGAGCAGCAACAGGTGTTGTAACGAGGTGTAAACTCGTGTGCTCGTTGCCTTCTGGCTACGCGTGTGCTGAAGTGTTGCCAAAAGCGGAAAGCTCGCACTGGAGGGGGAGCATCTACAGCACTCTTTAAAAGGGCGGCAAAATAATTTTCGGAGTTTGGCTAATTAATTGCACGGATTAGTCGATGCCACCTATATAATAAAGAGCCGGAAACCATTTTTTCTTGCATGTGCTAGTTATTATGTAAAGAAGCAAAGCAGATCAAAGTTCAGGGTACACAAACTCTTGCACCGTCCTTGGGACGTCACGAGGGGTACCCTCTTGTTCCCCGTTGGGTTCCATCTTCAGGGTGCACGACGCTCCCTTTGTGATTGTGTCGACTTTTCAAGTTCAATCATGACAGAGCACCCCACCTGCTAAGCTAGCTTGGTGTTGTTGAAGGTCACAGTGAGCTATCGAGGCACAGGAGAGTTCGCCATAGGGATGGCAGGGAGCATAGCAGTGGGGAGGGAATGGTTTTGGTTGACTTCTGCTAGATGGCAACCACAAAAACTTGCGTACCACCAACGACTGCTGCACATTGCTGCAGGCCGGCAAATAACGAGTTTTTTTTCCTTTGCAATGTTGCAGCATTTCGGGGGAAGATTGCGAGCTTTCTCTCGCTTGTGCCAAGATGAACAATAATAAAAACAGAAGCTGCAAATTCTTTCAGCGCTTAGATTGTCGCGCTCCCCCTTTAAGCCATCACCAGGTCCTGTAACCTGCAATGTACAATCGGATCACAGGTACTGCAATTCGATTGTGTGGTGTAATGACAGCCCAGTTATTACTCATAAGTACAATAGAGGGCTACGAGTGTGTGGTGGAGGTACAGCCTCTACTACATTCTCAACCTGTCCCTGATCATGTGCCGAGAAACTGAGGGCGAGGAGGAGACGACAACATATGGGACCTCGGAGCACTGAACTCTGGTTGGAATGATTAGCAGGTAGACCAAAAGCTAGCAGCCTTAGTCTCCATTGCACTCGTCGAACGGGTTATAACACGCAATGCCAGTTTGTGGCACTCGCATTCGAATGCATTCGATGACTGAAGTGGAGACAACGGCAGCTAGCTTTAAGTCTACCCACTAATCATTCCAACCAGAGCTCGGCATTCCGAGGTCCCTGTGCGCTCTCGTCTCCTCCTCCCCCCTCAGTTTCTCGGTGCATAGAATATCTGGGCTTTTCGGTACTGGCGAGCGTTTTTCTCAATCGTTTGGGTTTCGTCCAAAAGCACGAAATTATTTTTGCAATGCACAGACACCCTGAGCATGCAAAGTCTGGAGAGGATGTTGGGAAAAAAAAAAAAAAAGCAGGGCAGGGTGCTAGCTCGGTCCCAAAGGCATGCACATATGAAAGGGCCTTTATTTGTGCATTGTCCAAAACACAACGAAAATAAATAGGCGTCACTGCGTCGCTTTCGCCGTGCTCTTTTTCTTGTCCTTCTTTTTGAGTCCGTCGATGTTGCCTTTGAGCAGGTTGGCGTATGCCTGAAATCAAGACGTTTGTGAGCGCTCGGAAATGCAACTGGCCAAGAGATTGTGGAAGCTGCTGCGGTACGCACCAGTTGAAACCTGTTCACGTCTTTTGCATTGATCTGTAAGACAATGAGTGTAAGAGGACGGGTTGGAAACCTTTATCTGGTACTATGGTGCCTGGAATGCATCTCCGACTGGTGCAATTACTGCGCTCTAAAACGTGGTCCCTCGATTCCCGCTTGACAGCGTCGCAAAAGTGTCACGTCATCGCCGACCACGATCTTGGCGGCGTCACGGCAGCAGTGGTGGATGTGACAGATGCCTGTTCTGCTGCAGGTTGCTTTCCAGCTTGACAGTCAACGGAAACTTTAGCAGTCAGGAGTTGGGACTCGGCAACAACAGCAGCACTCGCATTCGCTCATGCTTTTTGTCCAAAGCTCTAAGACCAACCACCAGGATCACAACATCCGACAGCATGGCACACCGGTTCCTGCGACTTAATGGACCTTTTTCCGGTAACAAGCGCCGTCTGCAGAGTAGTCTTCAAACTACAGTTGACAAGCAGCCCAACTTGCCTCTGCCCGTTAGAATACATTGGCATTGTGTCGCTGTATTGATCTTCGTTGCCTTTTGTGACCTATACTAGCGTACATAGACCGGAACTTTGCCTTCCGAAAATGGCAACAGTGGGAAACAAGGCCAGGGCAGAGCCATGTATACAGAGAGTTTAGTCAATGGGAGGCACGGGCAGAGCCAGGGCATGCACCAGATGCAGAAAGTGGGCTTGGCATGCTCTCGTGGCCAACCAGAAGCCTAAAAGAATCCTCTAGCGGTGGTAGTGAGAAATTGTTTTAGTCAAAGGTTTATGTTCGTATAAAGTTTTAATAAGTGTGTAAGAGTGAAGTGTAGTAACTCTTCGTGGTTGAAAATAGGGTGCACGTGATGTTTCAATCATGATCATGCAGAAAGATGTAACAAACGAATGTGCCACTCAACTCTGTTTTGCTCGGTCAGACTGTGACAGCTCAGACGGCAGATTCTTGGCCCTTGGCGCACGGATTATGTCGATCGTTCCGCTAGTCACACTCTTCCACCATGATTTTGGATGACTGTGATGGAAACATCACGTGCACTATGTTTTCAGTCACAAAGAGTCACTCCGATGCACTTACCAAGTTTGTTTCTCGCGACCACCGCCAGGGTATTATGTCCGGCTTCTGGTTGTCCACATTCGAATTTATGAAGACGCCCTGGAAGATGCCCAGACCGCTTTCGGTCATTGGCGCCTCCTCATTTGTCTCCTATACTTCCCGACGAATGGCCAGACTCTACATATACGGCTCTGGGCCAGGGAAGGGGGTGCACACGTGCGCAGAAGCTTACTGGAAAAAGGTCCATTGGTTGCCACTTCGGAACTGCTTTTGACATATGGGAGGATTAGGACGCTAGGTGCACCAGTCGGAGACGTGTTTTAAGCACCATACCGGTATGGAGAGAGGCCGACAAGATTTTGAAAACTCACCACCGTGCTGATCTTCTTTGGTCCCCCGTGGGCCCTGAGGAGACACTTGTATTCAGCTGGCGGCTGGATAGGATTGGCAGCTAGCTTCTCGGCCCTGGGCTTCGGCTTCACCCGGCCGTCGTCTGCACACACGTGACCAGAACATGACGCAGATAGGCGGGCATGACGTCACACCGCCTCGCGATGAGCAGGATTCAGCATTTCATCAGCACAGTTCTATTACACTCGTGGTGCCTATCGGTGGCTTCAGGCACGTCTCGACATAATGCCATACGTTTCAAGCGAGAGAAAGTTGTCCCAGCCATGAGAGATACTTACAGCGTTTCATAGTGATGTACACTGATCCCGATGATCTGTACCTTTGGAACAACTTTGTAAGTTCGCTGAGAAACTGAAAGTGACAAGAAAAAACCATGAGATAGGTTCTCCGGTTCCTGGTACGTGAGCCTTTCAACCACAATACAGCAAGACTTTTTGGAACGGCTGTTAAAGGCCCAAGTTCATTTCATTGCCCGGTTATTCGTGGCGAAATAACGGGACAAGGGACACGAACAGTGCAATATAACCAAGCTTACCGCTTCATTTTCCAACAGAACCATGCTGCGAGTGCCAAAACAGACAAGACGAAAAGGAAAGGAAGAACAAGACGGATGTAGCCATAGAGTTATTATAATGTACGCTAGAGGTTCAAGTGGCGCTAGTGTGCTGCTGCAAATTGAAGCAGACAGCAACCAGTCGGAAATTGACTTCCGGTAATGCATTTTTATGGGAAAAAGCGAGTACATTTTCTCTCCGCGCTCGAATATAAGAGCAAATATCACGAATAATTCGTACGTACTAGGAAGCTTGGAACATTTCTCAGTCAGGCCGACGAAATAATTGGTCAGTTACGGCGTTTTTCTTTCAAATTCATCGGATTAAAAACGGTGCTAAAACGGCTTCGTACGTGTATTTATGTGCACTGTCGGACACTGTTGACGCGAACACGGCATCGGCGCTTTCCACCATGGGGATATACGTGTCAAACGAACGAAGGACATCTGGAAAACCAAGAGAGACGGCAAGAACTACGCAGTAACATTGGATACGTAACTCCTTGTGAATGCAGGCGATCAAAATAAATTGAAAGCCACCTAATATAGTCCGATTTGCAATAAATAAGTACCGCTTTATTCTTTCTGCTCATGAATATGTGCGAAGATGCATGTTCTGGGTTCAAATCATCAACCGCACGCTCCAAATCTTTGCAAATAGGAAGAAGTCAGAGAACAGGGGCCCGATAAGAACTGCCCGACATAGGAAATAATAAAAAGGCACACCTTTCGTAGTCCACGTACTTTATTTCTTACATTCGAATGTTTTTTAACCGTCGTAAAGATGCACGAAGGAGTCATTTTCATAAAGTGACAGGACGGGCATATTAGCGATATATAAGCGCCACTGCAATGCTAGCGAACCTTGAACACACTCTACATTCTTTTCGATCGTTAGTTTGCTTAGAATCGTCGCTTGTTTTTACATACCTGCCATGGAACATAGGTTTGGGCCTGAAATATAGCGAAGCTTAACATCGTTCAGTGGTAAAGAAAAATGCTGTAATTAAAGCAATTACACTTTTACAATATTAATAAGTGTACATACTATCCGGTACAACCGAAATAATAAAAGCCATTCGTGTTATTTTCCGGCGAAGAGGCAAATTTCACGCGCGTTTTCCCATAGGAATGCACAGGAGCACCGCAAAAGTGAACTGGTTGCTGTCTGCTTCAATTTGCCTCCCGGAAGTCGCATAGACACTAGCGCCAGTTGAACCTCTAGCGTACATTATAATAACTCTATGGATGTAGCGTCACTGTTTTCTGATCACGTGGGTTTGACGTCATAAAAAAGGTTGTTGAGTGGCTTGCTTTAGTAGCATAATACGCTTGTTTAAATTTTATGAAGCCTAAAACAATAGTTAAATTGAGTAAAGTGTGTAAACAAAAGGAACTGCGAGTTTACAATCACGTGATTAGGAAGTGTCGTCATTCGTGCTGGTGGTCGATGGAGGCCAATCGGCCAATCGAGCACACTGATTGAATATACCGGCAGTTTTTGTTGGCGCTGAGTACACGAACATTTTGATTGCGGTTGTTTCGAGCAAACATGGGCGAAGAAACGCTACGGACCGAGCTGTCTGAAGAAGAAGCCAACCTCTACGACAGGCAGATTCGTCTCTGGGGATTGGAATCTCAGAAGCGGTAAGTCGGCCGAGGAAGCCGAGGTGCGGTGGCGTCTTTCCGTCTTCCTCAAAGAAACCGGCGAAATTTGAAAGTTTTTCTAAAACAGCGGTCGGTGTCTTTTCCCAGGCTACGATCGACGAGGGTTCTCGTGGCCGGCCTGAACGGCCTCGGAGCCGAAGTGACCAAGAGCTTGGTCCTGGCGGGCGTCAAGTCCATCACGCTCTTGGATCACCGTAATGTACGCGCGTCAGTTTTGGTGGTAAACCTCCGACTGCAACTCGGGCCGCTGCTTCGATTTCGCAGGTCTCCGCTGATGACTTCTCGTCGCAGTTCATGGTTCAAAGGACGGACATCGGAAAAAACGTGAATATGTTGCGTCACTCTGTAGCTCTTTAGTGAAGCCGCTTCAAGAGCGTCAGTGACTGTGACATGCGCAACCGAAAGTTTTTTTAGACTTAGGCTAGGTGGCGCAAGCTACCGCCCATTACAAAGGGTATAGCCAATACCATCCATCCATCTATCCGTGTCGCGGTGGTCGGCCTCCCATTGGCTCTGCCTCCCACGATTAGCCAGATTCTCGACCATGGCATTTCTAGGGGGATTAATCCAGCTTTCATTGAAAGAAATAGGGTAATGTCGGACCGCCAACTTTGGCGGTGTTGGATGAGGAACACGGTGACTCCATGCTTCCACCACGCGTCTTACACACACCATCGAACTCGTCGTTGGCAGCTGATAATCCTGGTTGTAAGGCCCCTCTGAAACATCTCGTCGTCAATAAAGGATATCCGCTGACGTCCATAGCTGAGTATGTGGCTGCGGATGGTGAGCTTTCACACTGCTTTTGCAGCCTGCACTCCAAACCACCAAGATTGCCAGTCTTAGCAGCCCGTAACTGTAAGTGCGCTCAAATATGGCATACGGCGGTTGCCCCCTATTAGCGGCGAGATGTTACGGCGGCACCTTTGTATGGTTCCCTGTCGTGACGTCATTACCTTGCGAACAACAAGTTCGATGGTGTTTGTAATGAGCATGGTGGAAGCTTGAAATCATAGCGCTCTGAAACCAACTTTGCGAACACTGTCAAAATTGAAGTTTATACATTCCTTTTATTTCCGTCAATGAGAAATGCTTTGCTGACGTCATTGTTAGCATTCGACCAATCGTGGCAGGCCGACCACAGCGACGCTTTCGATTGCACACATTGCCAATACACCAACTCATGTTAACAGACAAACCGGAGTGCCCCCAGTGGCACTCCACCGGTGCCACACACGTGTATGGGGTGTGGGCAAGAAGCGCACTGCCCCCCATCAACCAACCATTGGAATGCAACATTTTCGGCATCGGTGCGAGTCCCTATGCTCTTTTTTGCGTTGGAATCATTGATTATACGTCTTCCCGGCAATGTCTGACTACTTTAGTGGGTGAAATGAACGAGGCTCGTTGCACTGCAAAACTTTCCGTGAATAATGTGACGCGCGGCGATTAATTCTGCATAACTGCTGCAGAATGGATGCTAAAGGCTTATTTACTTGATGAGATTCCGCTCGCTATTTTCAGTTGCGATGTTGATCGGGCTGCAAAAGGAGCGTGGACGGTAGCTGTGATGCTCGACGTCGATACTAATATTTGCAAGCAGTATGTTTTATCCGAAAGTAGACAATACTCTTTGCTCCACACATTGTGCGTTGTAGTGATAGTGAGCGTCTGGTTTTGCGGATTACGTCTGGTTTAGGCGATTTGTGGCATGCGATTGGGGGGAAATCGTAGATGTGCTGTGGAGTGCAGTAACACCACAAAGAAGTACAGCAGAGTGACATCTTATCGGTTTCCAACCGAGAAGTTCCTGCGACGGAAGTGGGTCTGAGGAGCCCAACGCGAATACCGGCTTTATAACGTTTGCGTCGTGCTAGAAAACAGTTTGCGCGTGCTAGCAAAGAAAACTTTTCATACCATTCTGCTTCTGAAGCGGCATCAGAGTCCACATGTTGGTGGATTGCGAATGCAGCCGCCACGGGTGATTTGCTTGGAGGCGATGCCGGCGGATAGAATGCGAACTGAGAATCATCTCAAATCTCGTACTGAAAATCTTAAAACATTTGCTGGTCATTGCTCGACTCGGACAAGCTCGATGAATCATGGCCCATGATTTCCCACGGACGATAGCGACGGCCTTCCGACTGCTTCTGTCAACAGGAGGAACAGGCTCAAGCTGCCCACGTGGTATGTTTATCAACATCTGACGTCACAACAAGATGGCAGACTGGTAACATTGCAAGTAATGTTTCGACTTCGGTCATGTCGTGTCACTGAGATCAAAAATTATTTAGAAAGATTTTTGGGAAATTTACTTGCTGCTCTAGGCTCAGTTTCTTGTGCTCTTTCAGAAAATATGTTTATAGTTGACAACATTCAAATAGATGCTGGAGCTTCCCTTTAAAGGACACATGCAGAGGAAAAAAACATTTTTTTTAGACAGCTTAGATGGAAAAAGGATGTCATAAAACGATTTTACAACGAAGAAAAGAAATTTTTAGAGCTATATTTACGGCGCTATACGAATTTGTAGTTGGCGCTCGCGGGAGCCGCCGCTAATCACGTGGTAGGCCCGCGCGCCACTGCGCTGCGTCGCCGCCGCACGCTGAGCATTGTGCGAACGCCGCTTCAACGCGTTTGTCCACGCCGCCGTTGCCGCCGCCGCACAAGTTCGTCTGCTTCGGGGCACCGTCGCCGTCGTCTGACCGGCGCACAGGTCTATCAAGTCTGCTTGCGCTTTTTCAGGAGTTTCCTTTGGGCTCTAAAAGCTACTTATTCATCTTAGTTTTTTGTTATACTTCAAACAAAGATGAATAAGGTACTTTTAAAGGCCATAGGAAGCTTCCGAAAGAGCGCAAGCACCACGTGACAAATATGGACCCGTCAAGGGCCACTTTTCCACGGCGCCCGCCGGTGCCAACTACAAATTCGTATAGCGCCGTAAATATAGTTCTAAAATTTTTTTTTCTTGGTTGTAAAATTGATTTATGATATCCTTTTTCCATCTAAGCTATTTAAAAAAAATGTTTTTTTCCTTTGCATGTGTCCTTTAAGGAGAAATGAATGAAACGAAACGCACAATGGGACGTGTTTTGGTTGGCTTGCTCGCCGCATAGGCCTGTTCCTCTCAACAAGGGGGTGCCGTAGAATCCGCAAGACACGACCACAAAATGGGCGCTGTAGCAACAGTAGCCTATGCTAACATCTGTGGGACGCAGCTATTCGATGCTGTCGTAAAGTGGCATCCCGACGTCCCATGCTTCTCTGTTGGCGTCTTTCAACGTCTGTCCACGTGCGCTGACGAAGCGTGTGAGAGAACTCAAAAGATCTTTAAAAAAAACAAAAAAAAAACAAGTTGCAACTTACGCTTTGGAGTGCTATAAAAACGCTAAAATGATATTTTTTTCAGCTTTTTGTTTTGTTTTATTTCACAAATTTGTTTTATTTGTTTTATTTCACATAGTTCGAGCGAGCGTAGGGATGCACAACCAAAACGCGACCTAAGCATATCTAACTTTGCTCGCGAGGGGCGCTGCTCATAACTCGAGAACTACATACTACAGACCTGTAGGATGCTACGGACAGGCACTGCGCCATGGGCGGGAACGTACGGGTCTCGTCTTTCAACGAGCGACTTCCCCACGCGTCTCCGCAGCGCGCGCACAGCTCCAAGGCGTACGCCCAGAGCCTGAATCCAATGGTGGAGGTGCAGTCGGAGGAGGGCAGCCTGGTGGACTTGGACGAGGCCTACCTGGGGCGCTTTGACATGGTCTGCTGCGCGGAGACACCCTCCACGGAGGCTGTGGTGCGCCTCAACGCGGCCTGCCGTGCCCTGGGGGTCAAGTTCTACTGCGGCCACGTCTGGGGCCTGTTCGGCTACTTCTTCAGTGACCTCGTCGAGCACACTTACACACAGTGAGAGCCGCCCTCTTCTGCCGTCATGTCTCGAAGACGAAGACTCCAATAATAAGGATGCTTCGCTTAAAGGCCGACGTACACTTTGCGCTTTCCACTTTTGCCCACCTCCTCCTTTCCTATATTCTCTCCCCTTTTTACCTTGCCCCAACATGGCTTCCCCTCGCAAATTAGGAGAGGGAAGTGCTAAGAGGATTATCTTCCCTGCAGAAAATCGAGGTTGTACGTCCGCGTTTAAAGACTGTACAAACAGGATGCATTTTCTGCAGTCGTAGCATTTACTGTTTTTGGACCAAAAAGTTTTCCTCCGATTCCGGGCATTTTTTTTTTTTTATTTTTGCCGAGGGGAAAGTTTTTTTCCGCTTGTGTCCGTCTTGGAATGTGCTCATCCCTTGGGTCCGCACAGCGGCTCACACGGTCTGCTATAGTCGTTAACAGGTTAAGAGGAAAGTGGAATGTGACGGGCGGGTGGCGGGGGTTCAGTTGTTTTTTTTTCGACCCCCCCGAAGGTCATTTTGGCGGTATCCCACACCGCCTGGTGGATAGTTGCCAAAATGCAGGGGGAAGCTAATTGGCTTCGAAGGGCAAGGGGAGGTATCATACATTTGGTTTCTATGCTAGGTGGCGCAAGCCACCACCCATTATAAAGGGTGCAGCCATTAGCATCCATCCATGGATACAAAGCGTGCGATTAGATCCGAGTCCTCGCCGTACGCTGACTTCAGCACTCGCTTTCAGTACGAGTTGAAACGAGTTCATGTCAAACGCTGACGCAACGCTTGGGTCCAGTGTATGCTCAGAGTATGTGTCAAAACAATGGCGAACACGGGAAAATTGTCGCAGCAGCTATTAGATGGCGTGCACTTTTTGAAAAAAGTCTATTGAGTGCGGCACCAATATGAGAGACTATTCTACAGCCTCAGTCTAGGCAGCGTATATATAGAAGAGCTTTTTAACAAGTTAAACTCTTAACTGACGATGAATAAAATGGTCGTTTTGCGTAATGTTTTATTACAATCTTTTTTTCTTTTTCCGCGGAAATTTGGTTTGCAATATGATATCATACGGAGAAACAAAGCTAAATAAATGGGCTCTTGATTGATGTAAACATCAAAGCAGAGACCGTAATTTCAGAAATATTTAATTTCGTCAAACACTATTGTTTTCCAAAAATTGGTCCAAACTGGGTGAAGATATAGCTATATCTAAAAAAATTTTCAGCCTTTCCACTCTGATAAAAAAGGAAGAGCAGCAGAGCTGGTACTATGTGCCGCCGTCGCTCATAGATGGCGGTAGCTGTCCAGAGGGTTGTGTCGAGATTTATTTGTCCATCGACACGAAACTGGGGAAACTAGCCCTTAACAGCTCCGCTGTAAAAAAATGAAGTGACGAAGCAAATAAAAATACACTAAATGTTTTTTTTTTTAAATTTTACAACTAAACTCAATGCAAAAACTACAGGGTGATTCAAGGAGACGCCAGGCTCTTTAAATCGACCGCAAAATTCGGTTTCTTAACCTATCGCGCTACGACTTTGTGCAGCGTTGTCCACAGATGGTGCATTTTTTTTTGTGAAATTTGCAAAGAGCGAATTTACCTGAGGAAAAAGTAAAGAAAGAAAAAGGCTTAGCTCCTATGGAAACGCAGCGACGCCACCGGTCTTCAAACAACATGGTGCCGTTTGGATGGGTGACAAGAGATGGCGCAACAAACGCCGCCAACGAACGAGCATACGGCGCCGAGAGCTAGCGTCTTTAGCAAACAATCTTTTCGACTCAAAAGCGGCGCGCGTTCCGCAGGCGGCGACAGTCGCAGAAACAAAAACAGGCACGGTAACAACTAGGAACTGCAATTCCATGTCTGCTAAAGACGCCGGCTCTCGGCGTCGTAAGCTCGTTCTTTGGCGGCAGTTGGTGTCGCGACTGCTTGCGCCACCTCTTGTCTCCCGTGCGAAACGGTGCTGTATTGTTTGAAGACCGGTGGCGTCGCTGCATTTCCATGGAAGCTAAGCCTTTTTCTTTCTTCACTTTTTCCTCAGGTAAGTTCGCTCTTTGCAAATTTCACAAAAAAAATGCACCTTCCGTGGGCCACGCTGCACAAAGTCATAGTGCGATAGGTTAGAAACCTAATTTTGCGGTTGATTTAAAGAGCCTGGCGTCTCCTTGAATCACCCTGTAGAGTTCTAACTCAAAAAGAGTTTGATGTGCCAAATGTCTAGTCGGCTTTCATGACAGACGTTCCATTAGGCTAAGCAGTTTCTTATTGTGTGAAGCACACGTCTTCAAAACTGAAACATGATAATCTGGCTTCATCATCAGACCCACTGCTGCTGTCCGAGTCCAAATAACTGACAGAGGATTTGCGAGATTAGCCACGCTTGCGAGCGCACGCCGGACCCATGGAAGCGGCTACGACCGTCAGAGACACGCATTTGCCGTCAGTTTCACGCTCGCTTTAAAAATTGCTGCCACGCGGAAAGAGGAAGTGAAACACAGGAACCAAAGCCGTAGTTTTCAAGCTATCTACAGGATGGTGCAGGAGAAATGTAAGAGATCTGCCGGAGTTCTGAAACCGGCGTCTGCACCAGTCAATCATGGGTGATCGATGCTGTATTTGCATGGTCAGGAAACTGATAGTAATATTTCGGTACAGATCGGCAGTGAGGCACCCATTGTTCAAGAAAACACGAAAATGATTACTATAGTCTTTTGCAACCTTAGAAACGTGGGATAGGCACCTCCCACAAAGCCCGCCACTCATTCCACTTGAGCAGAGCAAATGTTGGAGGGGATGCAAGTCCCTTTTACACTGTGCTAAAGTGGAAAAGAGCGAATGACTTTGTGAGAGGAGCTTTGCCTGCTATTCTTAACCTGCGACAGACCGTAGCTTATAGCAGCAAACATACAGCCAAGATTGACATTGAGTCGAAGTGACTCGACGTCAGTGATTTTGCGTACAACTTTTGATTAGTACTTTTGATGCTAGATGGTTCAAGGTGCTCTACATTTTGCTACATACTGTAAACAACTTAATTTTTGCAGAAACCTCATTTTCGCGAATTTCGCGAATCGCCTGCATTTTGCGAAAAATGGGTCCCGCGAACAATTCAGGTAAAATGTAAACACATTGGAATCTTTATTGAGATCCCAGTGTGTCGCGAAAATTACAACCCGCAAATTATTTGAAAATTTCAGCTTTGACCTAAATTGCAAAATATTGAGCCCACAAAAAATAAGTCTTTTACAGTACTTATGTGCGAAGAAATGGATAATTTGAGGTCAAGCACTTTTAAAATGTGGTGTTTTTAAGGGGTGGGAACGTCTCTTTGCTCGTTAATTTCTCCAACTGGCTTTTGGCGGCGACAAATACGCTGCCCACGTCGGCCATTTAAAATACTGCACCTTTCACCAAATAATTGTCCGAAAAATGAGTTGGCAATTAAGTTATTTTAATCGGTATCATTTCGAGGTAAGCCAGTTAATTTTACAGCTCCACATGTCATTCGTTGGCATACTGAGTCTGCAACGTCAAACTCTGAAGCCGCAAGCGGAGGCTGTGGGCTCATATGCTGGCTTCTTGCTTCAGAATGCCCCCGTTTTGGAGGTGCTACACTTCTCGGCATGTCTAGCCAACGGTCGAGCATAAAATTGGATGTCTTTCTTCGACCTTGCACTTGACACTTTGACCTTGAGCTTTACGGCGTGGGACGCAAAGCTCCCCAGTCAAAGGTACATTCTGGGTCCGTAACTGCACCCTAAAGCTCTGACGGTGCGGCAGAGCCTAATGCGAGGTTTTTGTCGAAGGCATTCTTCGTTTGCTTTGTGTTTCTGTTTTCCAAACCGTGTGAAGTCCTGCTGAACTCCACTCACATCTCGTCTCCTTTTCCGGGTGCACAAACAGAGAACTGCCATTCTTTGCGGTTAAGAAGGCAAACGACTCCGACCCCGGAGCAGCGAAGAAGCCCAAAATGGACGACGGGACCTCCAACCTCATTCAGAAGGTAAATGCATAAACCTTTTTGTTCGCTTTGGGTGTGGGTGTCTTACCTAAATATTGTCTAATGAGGGTAAAAAAAAGATGAGTCCTCGGGCCATGGACGGCGCGGAGAAGTTTGCAGTTGGACAATTACAGTTCAACGTGTCTGCATGTTTCCCTAACCGGGGCTGGGGAAAGCTAGCGTGTGTGTAGCCAGTTGTGTTAGGCCCTTTTCCAACTCGTGCCGTCACGTGCCTGGGGTCGTGACGGCATGAGTTTGGCGTATTGGCTGCACCGAACGGAGCGAAGCCGTTGATTGTTGGCTCGACGTCAAAGCCCCTGCCACGTGTGATATTATGAGCTGATATTATGTGATATTATCGTGCGATATTATGACATGGTGTTATGTGACACGACAGCGTCATGTGACGTGGCGTCGCAATTTTCCCACTATATTTAGCAGAAATGTATCGCCCAAAATGGAAGACCGTCGCACGAGTGCTGTGTCGGTGTTCGGCTGGAACCGGCGTCCTCACCTATCGGGCACGACTCCCGGCCAAACGATGACGTAGCGCTCATGTCCAACTGTGCCCCGCGGCAGTCTCTGAAAGGCAGCCTAAAGTAGATCCAACACTACGGCCTCATGAAAGGCATTCAAACAGCGGCGTTTGATTGCATTACGTTGGCTGTGTTCCAAGTCTTGCTCGAGGAGATCCGAGTTGCTCCCGCGGGTCACATCACGTGATAGCAGAGGTAGAGGGACACTGCATGTCGGTAGGTTTTGGAATGGTACAAAACAATGTTTGCTCTGGAATGAGAAAGAGTGAATATGGAACACGCCCTGAGGGATCTGACCTCGAGTCACCATCACTTCTGTGCTTCGCACGCTGCGTTTTGGGCTACAGTTGCCGACCGATTTTTCGGACGCCGATAATTCAAGCTCGTTTGATATTTCGGACCTAAAGGAGGAACTGTAACCTACCCGATAGAAGTAGTGCATTTACACGACCAATGTTTAAACAGTTTGAAGTCTGAAAGTTAGATTTTTCTAACAAAATCGTTGCGAGCGATCAGTGGAAAACACCTCCGAGAAGCGGCCATTTTAGATTCTATGTTGGCTGCACATGGGTCGGCTTGGTTTGACAGCTCTACTTGAGTAGTACCGATAAGTCCTACCGCTAGGTGACTGTACGGCTTTTTTTCTTCCAGTTGCCAATCATTATCTTCATCATTGTTGTCTCCATTTTGCTTTATTCATTTGCCAATGCAGTTGTGGACTTACGCCTCTCATCTCGATCTCGTCTAGGTTAATCGTGTTTTCGGACTACGCCGGCTTGGACGTCATTGCCCCATCTGTTCTTGTGCCGCCGCTATGTGTCGCTAAAAAGTGCAGAAAGTACTCGATCATAACGCTAGAAAAGAAGGCAGCAATTCTCAAGCTAATAGAAAGTTGCTGAACGCAAACGGTGGCGTAACCTGAAACAGGGTGCGCAAGCGTAACCTGAAGCAAGGCACAATTTACAGCTTTTTTAAGCCTGCTTAGATGTAATAAAGGCAAGTTTTGTTATTCTGCAGATTTTTTTGGACTGCTCTATCATTTGGACGTTTTCTCGGTGCCCGCGAAGTCCGAAAAATCGGTCAGCGAAAGTCGCCAGGAAGACACGTCCATCTCGGCGTCGCCGCGTGCCAGCGTTGCGCTCGTTGTGAGACGCCGTGAGACGCACTGGCGGCGTTGCCGATGCGAGCTAATAGACTTTTGCATAGATCCACTAGTGGTGACGTTTGAGGTTAAAGGTGCAGCCCTCGTCTTCCAAGTGGTATCGGGTCCGGTGGCCCGATGTGATGTCTCGTGCGGTGCGATACGACGTGACGAGTGGCGTGATGTAATGATAAACGGAGCAACGGATGAATACGGCCAAACTGTTTCAGTTGGGCGGCGGCTAACACCACCTGGCTGAAGCTTTTCATTTCTACGATTAACTCGGATTAAATTCAGAGCGATGAAGAATTTTCAATCGCGACGTCTCGGCATCTGTGGCAATCTAGCGGGTGCTATGCGAGACTTGTACGCATTGTGTCGATCGAACGCCGATTAAACGGATTCTCGAACCTGTGGCATAGCTCTGTGGCAGCGCGTCACTTCACACACGGCGTACCCGGGATCGAATCCCAAGAACACCGCGGCGGCGGGCGATCATTTTCAAGCATTTGACAATATCGGCGATGGACGCCCTACGCCCTACTACGACAACTAACGACAGTGGACGTCGCTTCCAGTGGTGGGAAGAGTCCGTAACAGCTATTGCCGTAAATAAACTTGCTGTTTAGCTTGTTTATCTTGGCGACATGTTCGAGGTGTCGAGATTTTTTTAGTATACACCCCGAGACAACTGAGAAAATTGGAAAACACATGCCGATCTGTGGTGTAAGTCGGCAGCCAGTCACCTACGTGAGAAAAACAATCTGGGTTGGTTTCATTCATGTCCTGTGTCTGTTTGCCACACATGTTGTTGACGAGAGGTCCCTGTTACTTGCAGACGGTGAGCTGTGTTCCGCTAGGGCGCGCCTTGCAGGTGAGGGCTGGCAAAGCGGGGGCTGGCCTGGACAAGAAGACATCTCCCCTGTTCCTGCTGCTGCACGGTAACTCCCTTGCTGGGCGCCCTTCACTGAATGGCGTATCCGCTCGACAGATGATTTTCTCTAGGGAAAACCAATTACGTCGTAGAGCTGCTAGGAGGAAAGGCCTCGAAGAGGAGTGGCTGGTGTTGAAACTCCGAGCGAGCGTTTGTGCGATGGAGTCGCATTTAGTCGAGCCCGCGTAACGCCAGTAGGTTTCTGACCTGTTTGTTACCCCAGGCCATATATTGCCTGCACAGCCCACATTAGATCTGTAAAGTCTGAAAAACAAACAAAAACTACCCCGTATATTTATAGTTACGAAAATATAAAGAAATGTTTGTCAGCCCCTTGAAAGGGGCTTGTTCGTGATTTTTACTTCTCCTAAAAAAAAGAGGTTATATCGCACGCATAATTTTTTTTTTGTTCAATGCACTCGGTGGTTTACAAGGAGTGAATTACCTTATTTTGTGTCACTTTTTCAGAGTTGTTGCCATGCACCACATGTGCACAAGAACATATCTTTTTGTACATGTGCACTGTGTTTAGAACATAAAAAAGCGATTTATTCCTAAGCTAATTCCAGATTTATAAAAAAAAAAAATTAAGCACTATAAACTTAAAATTTTATTCAGCTACTGTAAATATAAAAAAAAAATGAATGGTTTCCTGCGGCGCATGTTTCCTTGATTCAGCAAGTTATTGGGAGCATGCGACGTGGAGGGGGGTACGCCGCTCTACCCTGCTAGCTTGCTGGCAGCGCGTGTAATGTTGCATGGGGAAGTGCTGCCTACTCTTTCCTCTTCTACTGTGCCCGCCGCATTTTGGCTGTGTCTGCGTCTACCAGTGTTGAGTAAAGTACATCTAAAAAGCACTTGGAAGTAACATACAAAGTAAATGGGAGGTTATGTACTGCAAGTAAAGTAGTAAGTACACCGGGCACCATGTACTTGAAGTCAAGTACTATAAATATCATGTACTTTTGAAGTGCAAGTGCTTTTTAGCAGTCTTTCATGATGCCCTTTTATTCCTCTATAAATATATTTTTTTAAAACTGGTATGGATTGCTCCAGGGGTAGTTGGGGGTGCATCAGTTATTTTCGAAAATGGCGGCGGCTGTTGGTTAATGTAATGGAGTCACAGAGTAGTTGTTCTATTCTTGCTGACAAACTATTTCACTCAGTCCACTTTGAGGCACTTATTTGTTAACAAATCATCATTTTGGGTTACAAAATTAACAAGATATAGTTTGGGAAAAGTGTTTTGAAATCGGGAATTGTACTTTCCTTGGAAAATACCAGAAAAAAATTAATAAAAATAATTAAAGTACCAGTACATACTCCGAGAAGTACTTTAATTACAATGTACTTAAAGTACTTCCCAATACTGGTGCCTTCCCAAGGCCCAGTTTCTCTATCTTCTCCAGAGTAAAAACTTCACATGGTTTTGCACCTTCGCATTTGAGAACCTGGCATTCCTCTATATGTCTTTTTGAGTCATTCGACTTGCAGGGTCGGCTTGCTGACCACTGTGGAAGTTTTCTCCTCCGGATAGAAAGGGATTTTCTTCTATGTAATAACAAAATAATAGTTAAATGACAGCTGTGAATGCCTCTTTGCTTTGATCATAAAAGTCAGATGACATTCTGAAGTACCATATTTACATGCCTGTAGGTCGACCTATTTTTCAATTTTTCAAAATTTTAAGGGGGGGCGGGGGAGGGGGGTGTCGACTTATAATCGAACCAAAGCATTCCACCACTGGCAAAAACAAAACAGTCGCAATATCAAGAACACCTTGGCTTGTTACGAGTTCAGCTGGCTGTACCTGTAGCCAGGGACAGATTCATTGGGGGAGTCCGGATGTCCTGACCCCCCTCTTGAACTCTGCATGTGTAAAAATTTATGGCATGAAAACGGGAAAGGGGGGGGTGGGGGGGGTCTTAATCATATGATACGTTGACCAAGACCTGAGCCCCCCTCTAGAAATACCTGCGTCTGCCCCTGCCTGTAGCATTGTGCTATTCTATGCGCTCATTTCACAAATTAGTATTTATTTTATTTGCACAAACAAGTATTATTGATAGGGATTCGCAAATTAACTCGAATGTACGGCGGTGAAAGGTGCACGGTGCGCTCAACTCCTGGGAGTGGCGGCACTTCTTGTAAGAGCCACTCCGGAGGCTGCTGGAACCCGGGAACAGTCTCACGGCTCACTCCCCACGGCTCCTTTTCGCAGGTTTTCGCATGATTCACGGGCGCACGTCGTTTGATCGAGCGTCGAGATCATGCTGGAGCGCTAACTATGTTTTTATGTATTGACATGCGTGATCCGGGCAGTTTAGGTTTTCGGTGCTCGTTTATGGCCATTCTTCACTCAGAAGCAACCAACAACTGCGCTGTTGGACGTAAGTTCGACCCTTCGGAGCGGGTGATGCTCCAGCGAATTCTGCAATGGTGCGGGATCTTAAACTGTGACGGCAAATGAAGAGGCTTCCGCAGGCCAAAGTTTGGATAGGTGGGAATGCGTTCCAGAGGTGGAGGTCAGGCTTGCAACATACGCCGCAAAAGTCCACAGTCGGTCCCTACCCGTGGCGTGCAACGCGATCGCCGAGCAAGCGCGGTAGATGCAGAAGGTGCTGTCATTTGCGAAGTGCGAGATTTCGTTGGACGACGCCAATGACGTGCTTCGAGAATGTAACAGTGATGACGACTGGACTGACATCACCAGTGTGGATGAGTTGTAATCTAGTCGCGGATGGAGTGAGAACGACAGGGAGCAGCTTCAGTTGTCCCGCCTCCAGCGTGAACTTCCTAGTTTCGACAACGCCTGAACATTTCATGCACCTCGCGGGTGCATGCGCAGCCAAAGCACGCCTGAAGGCATCGATTGCGTGTTGGAGGCTGGGCTTTCAAAACAGATACTTTGCCATTCTCATGTATTTGCAGTAAATTGCCCATCTAAAGATTTTTTTTTTTTTTTGCTGATGTGCAATGTGGATTTATAATCGAGTTGACTTACAGTCTTGTAAATACGGTAGGTGCGGAAAGGCTCGAAATGTAAGTAAAATGAACCATGTCAGTGAACTTTAAAAGCAGCGTGTAGCATTCCTGCCGGAATGGGTTGTGTTGAAGTAAAGTTTAAGAGCAAGAATGCCGAGGCTAGCACCTGATGCGACTCTTTACAGATCAGAGTGTGGTTCACGGCTCACAAGTAAGCATATTCCCCCAACCCGTGACGCAAGAAAGAAATATAAAATAAAGGATCTTGGGTTTTGGCAGCCTTGTTCCACTATACATGAGAAAGGACATCAAGGTCAGCGACATAATGAGTGATCGCTTTCATAGTGGAATTCGCTGTGGCCACCAACTGAAATAGACGAAATGAAAAAACAACCGCACCCCTTTTGTAGTGCAACTCTTCACTTAATATGGTTCTTTGTTATGGATCTGCATATGTCCTCCTAGCCATCTTTGGTGTATAAAATAATGCTCCTAACCTTGAAAAAAAAAAATATTTTTTTTTAGATTTTAGCGTTTTTTATTGCGTACTAGACGGGATTGGCTGGGGGCAGAGGGCTGAGCGCGATCCCTCTCTGTCCAGTTCTGCTTCGCTTTCATGATGAGGAGGGCAGGGCTCCCACGGAGTCTGACCAGGAGCGCCTGCTGTGCCTCTGGGATGCCGTAGCCAAGGAGCTGGCTGTGGAGAAGGAGCGCCTGTCAGACGACCGCCTTCAGTGAGCGCTCTTTTCTTTCTGCTGGGGTTGTAGAACAACCTTTCCATCCCAGTGGGATAAAGCAACACGTCCCACCTAGGGGGTTTAGAACAACACCTCTTTTCTAAGGGGTAAGAGAATACCATCACTGAGAAGGGAGATAAAGCAGCATCTCTTTTCCAGGGGGTAAATCAACGCCTCCCACTTAGAAGGGTTTAAAGCAACACCTCTTTTCTAGGGAATAAAACAACACCTTCCTCAAAAGAGAGGGTAAATCTAGAGCTCCAGTATACAGAAAAGATATGCAAACTTTTCCACACGCCGGTTCCTCCTCCAAGTAAGGGATGGACCATCCTCCACATCTTTCTTCTCATGGCAGACGACACTATTTTTGAGCATGGCCAGCTACTTCTGATAACAAAAAAGGAGGGCTGAATGTTCTTTGCCATGGAGCAAGGGGAATCCAGGGTACGGATTGGACATGATTGCTGCATCAGCGTTTGACCGAAACTTGCCTTAATCACTGAGGACAAGAGTCTTAGCTGAACGGTGACGCAGCACGTCGAGACCCACCAGCCTGCTTAGCTTAGTGTGATGCTCAAAAATGTCGACTGATGCTGGCCAAGTGCAACTAATTTTAGCATTGCATAGGATCACCAGAACAAATTTGTCCATTTGGTATGCATTCACAAAGTGGTAAGCAAAGGGGGAAAAAAATTTAGAGGGTAAGGTTGTTAGAAAAGAGGAAAGCTGAGTTCAATGGTTCATCTTACTTTCAGTATAGAGGAGCCTTTAGGTGTGTGAACACTTCTCTCCCAGGGGGATAACGAAACACCTTTTTCCCAGGGGTGTAGTGTAATACCTACTCTGAAGGGTGTAAAGCAGTACCTTCCGCCCTGGGGGGTAAAGCAACACCGTTTTTCCAGGGTGCAAAGAAGCATGTCCCATGCTTCGTTTCCTTATAAGTCGAGGCGCAGATGAAGGCTGAAACACATACAAACATTGATACATACTAAAAGCACCAGTTACGAGGAATTTAGCCCTCTCAATAGGTTTAGTAGGGGATAGAACACATTCGCAAAAGCAATGAATGCCACGATGTTGCGCTCTTGACGCCGTTCGATTGGCCCCTTCAGCTTGTAGCATCGACTGCACTCTCACTTGAAGTGAAACAAAGTATGAATAAAATTGGCTTAGTGCCATAATTTTGTACACCTGTCGGAGGCCAGCACAGAGCACAGGTGAGTTACACGCGCTGCGTCAGTGTTTGGCTGGGACTCATGTCCATTCGGTGAGGACGCTGCCTCGGTAACTACAAGGCAAAGCGCCCGCCTATGGATCCCCAGTTAGCGGGTTCGAATTGCAACCAAGTGCTTATTGCAGAGAAGGTGTTCTATAACCGAGATTCAGTTGCACGTCAGAAGATCCCCAAATAGTCAAAATAGACCTTTTTTCAGTGACGAGTGCCATCTGTGTTGTCTTCAAACTACAAATAAAGGGCAGCCCAACTTGCCTTCGTCCGTCGAAATACATTGCCATGGCGCTTTTGTAATGATCTTCGTTGCCTTTTATGACCCATACTAGTATATACTCAAGCAAGAAAGGCCAAGATGAAATATATGCAAAGATAGGTGCTGAATATGTTGGTCGACCGGAAATTTACCCCACAAAAATGGCGACAGCGGGAACCAAGGCCAGGGAACGGGGCGATTGCCTGCGCAGAAGCTTACTGAAAAAAGGTCCATTAATTTTCTGTCCTCCGCTAGGGCGTGCGAGATGCCTTTAGTTGGTATGGCACATAAAACCTCAATGTTTGATTTGATTAATTCAGTGAAGACATGACTCCCAGCCAATGTCATTAAATCAACACAGTTGTAGAACTCCCGCACATGGAAGTACCATTTCGCCCTCAAGCACTTCACATGATGTTGTTTGAAGCGCCATCTAGAGGCTGCCTTTCCAAACTGTATTCTTTGGAGACACTGCGGTAAAGCACCACATGGATGCTGTGCTTCAAAACCTGTGTAACTGTAGTTACTATGGCAGCCGTCTCCCCAGAAAACAATGGCACGTCGAACAATGGGAGGTGGACTTCGGGGGAAGAGGGGGATGCAACTTGTGGGAGCAGCATCTATGGGCAGTTCCGTAACAGTTCACCTAGTAATGTTGGTCCCAGCCGAACTCCAAGGTAGTATTCGTGTCTAATATGAGCCTGGTGCTAGCCTTCAATACATGACAGAAAAATCCAGCATTCTGGCTTTCATACCTAGGATGTTCTTGGTAAAGATGGGAGCAAGGCGTGACAAACTGTAAGAGTGGAAAAGAAAGCGTGCGGCAGTGGTGTCACGAGGGTCAGTGGCACCCGGGGCAGTAGCCCGCTGCGACACGCCCCCCCCCCCCCCCCCCTCCGTTTTTGCGTGGCCCGCCACGACTCCCTCCCCGCTCTCATGGCCCGCCGCGACACCGCCCTGAGCGCTGCACCCGGGGCGGTCTGCTCCCCCCCTTGCGACGCCACTGGCGTGCGGTATCTTGGCTGGGTTCTTTTTCCCATGGTACGTTGAAGTGGCTTGAGTGTTCCTCAACTTTGGTTGTTTTCCTGCATGCGGTGCACGATGCTGCTGTTTTCATGCGAAATAAAGCTAAGCAAGAATGAATTGACTTCCACCTGACCTGAAGTGGAGCACAACTCGCGTCATCTAGGTAACTGGTGGCTGCTGAAAAATTTCACCGGATCGGGGATTCAATCTCGAGACCTGTCTAAGACTAGCGGAGTGCTCTACCAACTGAGCTAACCGGGAGCCAGCAGTCAGTAAGTAGAGCAAAGAAATATTAACGGTTGCCACCAGGCTTAATCATAGCCACCGGAAGGGTGAGAATAGCCTTTAAGGACTAGGTATAGTAATTTTAGAAGTCCCCAAGATGAAGAAGATTTATGCAAGAATAAAGTGACTTCCAGTGCAAGTCAATTTATTCTTGCATAAATCTCCACCTTATAAGAAAATTAAAAAAAAGCTTCTGTGTTGAGCAGCTTTAAACAAAAGAGAAGTTGCCTGAAAGTCTCTGACATGAATGACACGAATGGCTGGATGGCTCCTGGTAGGAATTTTGGTGACAACATGTTCCCGTAACCTTACGCTAATTCTTTGGCCAAATACTTTGGCCCACAAATAAATGGAACTTTGTATGTACACTATACCGATGCACTAGTTACACATGTTTGTGCATGTTTTACCTTACAGTGGTCACATTATTCCTGTTAGAAATGAACCATAAGACAATGCCTCTTCAGCTTATCCGGTGCAGATAGTGGTACCACCTGGACATCACACTTAGAGGTGCTCTGTGAATTCTGAGATGCTCTGTGAATGCACCAAGTTACAACGGCCGGCAAGCATCTCTCTTTACAGCGAAGCAGTTATGCGCTAGGATCTGGAAAAAAAATGCGTCCGGGCAAATGTTGACAGAAAACTCCCCATTGGTCGTAGGAAGTATGAATAAAAAAAATAAAAGAAGGGGGCAACCAGCGTGAGCCAGCCTTCCTTGGCATTATTATATAGTGAGGTCCTGATCCCTTGTCATCATCTCTAGGCATGGTCCTCGAGGTCGTCCTCCAAGTTGACCTTGAGGTCGTCCGAGAGGTCGTCCTAGAAGTTGTCCTTGAGGTCATCCTTGAGGTCGTCCTAGACATCGTCCTAGATGTCGTCCCCGAGGTCGTCCTAGAAGTCGTTCTCAAAATCGTCCTAGAAGTCGTTCGAGACGTCCTCTTGGCGTTGTCCTCGAGGTCGTCCTGGAAGTCGTCTTTGAGCTTGTCCTAGACGTCGTCCCCGAGGTCGTCCTAGAAGTCGTCACTGAGGTCGTCCTAGACGTCATCCTCTAGGCATCGTCCTAGGCGTTTTAAAAATAACAGCTTCACTGGTCCTCCATCTTCATGTGAAGTGGAATGTTTGTGTCATGTAAAAAAAATGAGGCAATAAAGAAAAAAAAAAAGTGGAAAGGCTCTACAATTTTTTTGCTTCTTTCACATTGTCTGTTAGAATTCACGTGGCATTTGGCAACGTTAGACAAGACTGAACTGGGGTATCCTGTCTGATTAAATATTTTGCTGCGTCGGGATCTAGTGCGAACAAGGTACCATATGCGACACATTTTCGTTTCTCAGGATTGTGTGCTTCTTGCGTGTGCAGGTTGATATCTCGGGAGCTATGTGCAACCTGCGCTGTGGTCGGCGGTGTTTTGGCACAGGACATGATCAAGGCAAGTGTTTGCACGATGCGGTCGCGGGGATGTGCCAGCTTTGGACGTTGGGGCAGCTTTCTTTATGGCAAGACTGCCAGCTTTCTCCTAGCTTCAGGTGTTATTCCATCTCTTTGTAATGAAAGAATTGCACCACATGTTGAGACCATAACCTTTCCGGTGTTCATTCATAAGGAATGTCGGCGAGTGTCTTTCGGCATTTACTTGTGTTTTAGATATTGGCATGTTTTAATGATTTGTTTTGGACAGACACTAAGAACAGTAATTATTGGTGAAAAAAAAAAAAAAAAAAAATGAGAAAGTCGCCCCTTCGTTGTACTAGCGTGGCAAAGGCAGTGGTAACACAGAATGTAATCTGTTAGTGTGGAGAAAAGAATAACTATTCTGGCTTCTGATATTCGAGGAAATAGGCTTTAAAGTGGCATTGCTCCAAAATTGGCCAAACTAGGATTGGTGGGTTTATGAAAAAGTCTTGGTTTTGTCAATGAAAACCCTGAAAAGTGTCTTTCAAGTTGGGACGATTCTTGCTTATGCCTGTGAAACATGTAACACTTCCTGCTTTGAAGAGTCATTGCCACTGGCCTAAGGGAAACAGGGGAGGCACAGAACACCATCCTAGAATTCCAGTTGGTCCGACACAATTCATTGTCGGTAGGGCCGTACCCAGAAAAAAATTTCGGGGGGGGGGGGGGGGGGGGGTTTTCGGGGACAACGGCGGCCATTTTGAAAGTGTCTATTGTCTTATTTTCGCCTATGAATCATGTGCATCGGTGGCATATAATGGAGAGTTACAGCAAACCGGAGATCCGGTCCCGGTTTGGTACCCGGTAGCCGACCGGCGCCACTGCGTGTGCGCAGAGGTGGAGATTAAAATCGGCTGGCTGCCAGTGCACCGACCAGGGCCGTACACAGAAAAACATTTCGGGGGGGGGTCAGAACCCCCTATCCCCCCCCCTGGTTACGGCCCTGATTGTCGGTGAACAGAAACTATGGTTCATACATTAAGACGGGACACTAGCGTTTCATGCTCCAATTGCCATGAGCATTTCTAAACAATGCCTCCCGCATGGTAGGCGGAACATTTAATGATGCTGCCTCCTTCATGACACTTTCTCTTCTGACCTTTTCTGAACACTTTGACACAACACTTTCTCCTCTGACCTTTTTTGAACACTTTGACATTTGTTCTACGGCGATCCGTGTTCCAGGTGGCATCGTGTCGTGACCCACCTCTCAAGAACTTCTTCCTCTTTGATGGCATCGAGTGCTGCGGCCTGGTGGAGAACATCGGCAGGTGATTGATCCAACGTCTGGCTTCTGACTTTGAGCTCGCGTCCAGTCGCCGACTTCGAGCCGATGTCCGGCCGCTGACTTCAAGCCAAGGTCCAGCCGCTGACTTTGAGCCGATGTCGCACTGCGTTTTTCAGAGGTGCACCGATAGCCGACCGGAAACGCTGGAGGATTTTAATGATTCTGTTCCTGGAATGTTATGAAGTTTGGGACAGGAGCTGCAAGATTCAGGCAGGAACCACGTGATTTTTTTGGGGGGGGGGGGGGGGGGGAAACAACAGACATGTTTGTGGGTTCAGTAAGGAGTAAAGGAAACTCAATTTGTATTACTAATAGCATATTGTTTTGGCATGTGAACTGTACAGTCACTGTATTGTTTTCTTTTTTTATTTGCAAAGCCTATCACATACACCATAGGCACTGGGCATCATTAGCTTCATGTTAGTATTCTGTATGAGCTACCCAACATGCAATGTGCTTCCATCCAGAATTTATAAATCACTCAATTTATAGGTGCTGATCTGTCAGCAAATTAAGTGGTTAGTAATGCTTTCCTATTTTATTTAGGGGAAATATTAGAAGGTAAATTTTGTTGTTAAGGTACAATTTTGTAAATCTCCACTTTATTGAGTGAAAAACAAATGTTTGCTGTTAATTAGTTTCTATAGAGCCTGAAAGCTCTTGCCCAACAAAGACTAGTATTTTCATTTTAATATTCTGGTTTGCAGCAACAAAATAAAAAAAAAAACTGATTAATTGTGCATTTAAATTGTTTGAAAAAAAAAAAGTTTTTTGATATACACATGTGTATTGTAAAACTGTCCTTGAAAACTCTTTCACCACTTATTACAGTGAGTGATTACGAGTTAGTGAATGCATTTCTATGAGGTAGTGGTGCACAGTTTGGTCAATGCTGCCCATTTTGAAATGTCTTTTGAGGTTTCATTAATAAAGATGTATGTTTGAGTTCCACTTAATCTTCAGTGTTAACCGTTTCCAAAACTCATCCGAATTATTTTGACCATATTCACCATGTGTCAACTTCTAAGAGTGGTATGGCTAGGATCTTTTTTTCTGGGAAGCAGACAGTGGGGTGGTTAAAACCTTTGTGGCTTGTGAGGGGAGGGCATCATGCCGGCTTATATTAAGGGTTGGACTGTTATTTTTTAGGAAGGGGGAGCCTTCAGCCATACACCCACCCTGGCTATGCCACTAGCGTGTAAGTAAACATGTCCAGAGACTACATTCTGATTATGTTTTATTTGACTAAGTTTGCCTTACGAAAATAAAATATTCGCCGGAACATTGCTTCTTTTCCTATGTACAAAATTCCTTTGTTGATTTCCTGGATACAAAAAGTCAGTTCAACTACAGAAGCCTTGATCTGAGAAAAGCGTGGTGACATTGCCGCTTGCATCTGCGCCGCTCAAGTGTCTGCTGCTCTGGGTCACGTGACGCAACATTGCACTTTGCACACTCCGTCGTCTTGTGTATGCACATTAGGCAAGTTGGAACACAGTGTCTTTTTGTTCACTTGGAATGCACACCATTTGAGTCCGTGAGGTTGCCACTTCACGCAGTACTTTTCCACCATGCCAACACGGAGAGCATGCACGTCGTCACAAAGTCTGCCAGCCAGTCGTGGTTGCGTGTGTCTTCCTCTCGCTCCTTCCGCTTCTGCAAGCAAGGGAACGTTTGGGAATCAGACACTGCCAGTGAAACAGACAACCTGTACCTGGGGTACTTATAATGCTTCTTAGCTCAAAGTGTATATAAGACAGGACCTCGGTCTGGGGACAGTCTTTAGAGTACCAAAGCTAGTAAGAGTAAAATTTGTAGTAGCATTCGATCGGGAAAATGAAACCCTCGGCCCGCATAAATAAACTACACGTTGCAGAAAGCTGAAACTCCATTAGAATGTGATGCTAGTGGGGGGGACAAGATGCGAAAGCTTGAAAACATGTCATTACCTGGATCAAAGGGAAACATAATTTTTTTTTATGACCCAACTAATTTCATCAAATCAGTAAATAACATTATGTGCCTGTGGCATTTATTTGAGGAAACCAAACTTGTGAGCGAGAAATACAATATTGTTTTTTAACATAAAATGCATTTAAATGGACCCCCAATCTTAAAATATTGTCTGTTCGTTTGTGCGTTCGTTAAATTTAGAAGGAAAACTGATGTCGCGTGACCTAAACACCAATCCTGTTTCCCCACTAAATTGGGGGGGAAATCGACCTCGTGACCTGATGTCATGTGGCATACACAACAATTCAGTTTCTTTACGAAATTTAGCGGGGAAATGTATGTCACGTGACACACCAATTCCCTCACGATCCTTCCCCTATCTCTCTTCTTTTTCCATCTCTCTCCTCCTGCAATTCCCTAGCTCTCCTTCCCTCATCCCATTCCCCTACAATGACCTCCCTCTGCGTCATACTTCCTTGGTCATGTGACACACCAATTCAATTTCTCTTCCTCTCTCCTCCCTCCCCTCTCCCTCCTCCCAGTCCCTCTCCTCACCATCCTACAGTGTCCTCTTTCCGTCCTCCTCTCTGATCACGTGACACACCAATCCAGTTTCCGAAAAATTGATAAAATTGGGGTTTTTACTTCTGAAACATCTGTTTAAAGGGGTCATGAAACGCTTTTCCAACTTTTTCCTGTTTAGCTTTCCTCCTCAACTCATAAATCGCGCATTCCACCAAACAGTTAAAAAAGACGAAAAGGGGGAGTCCCCTCTTGCTCGCACTCTCGTTTGTATAATCCCGGACACATCCATTCTCCCCCTAGAAGATTAGCCCGTCGCTCAAAATTCAGACAGAAGTTGCTTTCCCCACCCCGTTCATTCCGAAGCTGACAGTGCTGTTGAAGCTACGTGCTCGTTGGGCCAGCCACACTTGCCACGTGAGCGTGGAAAATGTGGCTGCAGAGAATGAAGTCAGGTGATGAAAGGGAGGAGGCTGATTGGTCCGGCAAGCGCGTAGCTTCCACCACAATGTCAGCTTAGGGGTGAGGGGAATAAGTGAGGTCCGGTTGCGTGTGACGTCAGTTTGGACCCGATGACGCGCTTTTGGGACCGCGGATGTATCGCAGTGAAAAGGCAGAGAGCTTACGAAGGGGAGGAGGTGCGAAATAGTCCGCTGTGTTTTCAAATTTTCGCTCTGAAAGTCAGGCTTTTGTCGTTCTACTTTTTTTCTTTTGGCCCACTGAACGATGTGCTATTAGTAAAATCCCAATCTAAAATGATTTATCCCAACCCAAAAATCGTTTCATGGGCCCTTTAATGTCTACCAAACAATTGAAGCAGTTGCTTTTGAATACTGCCTTTTATGCATTATAGTTAAGGTTCCACGTTTTCGGTTTTTATTTTTTCAAAATTCGCTGTTTTTCGGTGTTTATTCTAAAATTTAATTTTCGTTTTTTTTTTCGGTGTATATTTATTCCCCAGAAACTTTACCGTTTTTTCTTTTGGTGAGTATTAAAGAAACACCAACGGCAAAGGATGAGATGTTCCTTGTAGCTGAGATATTTGTGATCACTTGAAGAATAACGGCACATATACCGTATAGACCGTTCCATTAGGGTCATAGCAGAGAGGGTAAAAGAGAAAAAAATGCGCTCCCCCTCTCACCCCGCATCTCGTCCGCTCCGCCGAGTGGGCTGTAGCTGGCGTCCGGCTGGCGTGCAAACTCTTTTTAAAATCGCGTCATTTTGGGAATTTCAAGCGCAGATGAGCAGATTTTGGTATGCCAGTTGTCGTGTAATACTATGCTAGATAAAAAGAGTCACAGGGTCCAATCGCGCTTTTACCTGCGTGCAAATAAAAAACAAAAATAGGGAAAACTGTGTCAGATTGGCCGGTCTCTTTGGCGAAAAGTAAATCCGGTTGCTGTACCTTTTTTACTATACAAAAGTTCGCACTGGTGTAGGCCTTTAGCGACCATGAGTGGAAGTCTGAAATAATAAATAAAACGTGCTCTCCTGCCGCAATACAAGCAGTAGTTGAGGGTAGTACTGCCGGCTGACTCAACTGCAGTTTAAGTAACCGAAAAAATATATGCTAGTTGATCATTTAGCAAAACAGAACAACAGAGAGCTATAGGCTGATTTTGGAGTAGCCACAACTTTTCTAAGAACGCGAACCACTTCACAACGGCAGCCACGAGCGAGAGTTCGATGTTCGCTAGATCCCGCCGATGCAGCCCACAAAGATGGAGAACGGCAACCTCCCGGTTTGTCGTCTGCTGGCGGAGTCGGGCGCGTGCCCTCTCTCTCGTTTTACGCCGCCGAACCCGCTGAACTTCCCGAATGTGTGGAGAGGGCAACGGAGAGGCCGAACAAAATGGTGCCGCCCAGAGAGCGCTAAATGGAATGGTCTATACGTGCGTGGTCTTCGCTACAACTTCCGTCAGGACACACCTCAAAATCGCGGAATTCGCGGGCATAACTTCTTCAGCGCGCTTCTTTTTCCTTCCTATTCTGACGACGTGACCGTGTGAGGTGATGACGGTACAGGAACCAGGCGGAATGGCAAAAAAAAAAAAAAAAAAAAAAAAAACTATTGTATTCATGTTTTTAATTAGAGGGAAGTTTGAGAGAGGGTGTTAAGAAAGATTATAATTGACGTTTTTTTTTCGATGTCCTCTAAGTGCAGGAAGCGAAAAACCTTACACTAGCCCACATCCAAACTTTTTTTTTAGGACCGGGAACTTGACACATTAAGCCCGATCACAGAAAGGACACAGATGTCCCGCGAAGGACAACCCAAGACCTCTTTTGTTGCATGCTAAAGCTTGGAAGAGGGCAATCACGAAGACATCACACGATGTCGAACCTTGCCAAAGCTCTCTCTCTCTCCACCCCCCCCCCCCCCCCACACACACACACACACACTCACCTCGACGCGGCCCCAAAAACGGTTAAAACCGAATTTCCGAAAATGGATTCAGCATACTTTTATCGGTTTAAACCGAAAACTTCGAACCCTAGTTATCGTACATCGAACTTAAAGGTTGCTGCCAAGTTTTCTTTCTTCTTTTTTTTTTTTTGTTTCACTAAAATAAATGCCACAGGCGTCCACAATAATATTTATTGTTTTGACAAAGTTAGACTTCAGTGGACGTCGGGTAACAGAGAAATTTCGTATTTTTTATTTTTAGATTCAGGTAATGTCATGCTCTCGAACTTTGGCGTCCCATCCCCACAGCTACCGTCCCATTCTGATGGAGTTTCAGCCTGCTGCAATGCGTAGTTAATTTATGTGGGCCGAAAAAAAAAAACGAGTAATAATAATAATAATAATAATAATTTTTGTTTGCAGGAGAAAGTTTGCCCACTCAGCGGCGTGCAAGGCTAGACAATCGTGCCCTGTACTTGACAAAGTACACTGTACAAAGTTTGAGGTCTTTTCTGATCGTCAGGTAATGAGCTGCAATACTTCTCACGTTGCTGGTTTGTGCAAGTTTATCAGATCACAATAAAACCTCATGTCCAGTACCCCAAGACATGCTGTCAGGAGGTGAAACTATCGGCACGTGTTTAGTTGAGCACAAAAGGCTCCTTGAATGCGACTTATCTTTTCACCACTGTTTTTCAAACAAAACGATTTTTCCTAAATAAAAAAAAAATTGTTAAAACAAAAAAGGACACGAGATTAAGAAACGTTTCCTTTTAAATAAGGAGGGGAACTGAGGAAGAGGAAGAGGGGAGACTGTGCGGGGATGTCGGAGTGCCGGGCTGGTCTTTTGAATGATTACTCCGTATACGCAATGCTAGATGCCTTTGTCTACTCACTCTTCGAACAGTGAGTGGAGACAAAGCTAACCTTTGCCTCCACTCACTAATCTTTCCAACGGGAGCCAGGCGCTCTGTCCCCTCCACACGCTCTCATCTCTTCCTTTCTTCAACTTTCTCGTTACCAACCATGGCAGACGGCGGGTTATGAGCGTAAAGTGACAACGCAAAGTAA